CTTCATTTTCTGGTGCGCAAAACTCTTTTTTATGCTTGGCAAATGACTTTTACGAAAAACCTACAAAGTTATATGAACCACCGAGTGGAAGTATTTCAGACTTTCAAGTATGGTTTACTACAGATGGAAGAAAGAGAATAATTCCATTATACCACGCGTTTTACTTAGAACTTAGTTTCATATACAACTACTATCGAACGGTAAAAATATGATTTTTAATACGGTTGAGGTGTTGGATTTGGTTGCCAACTAGACTGTGGTGCAGGTTCAGGCTGTTGTATAACAGGAGCTTGTTCTTCTGGTTCAGGGTCTTTAGGTATAATACCAACGAACTGACCTACTCTTTTACCAATATTTTTGACACCGTTCCAAATTCCTCTTCCGACAGATTTTATTCCATTCCATATACCTCTTCCAACATTTCGAAAGAAGTTTCCTATTCTTCCAAAGAACCCATTTTACTATATGTAAAAATCTAATGTCCGCCTAGTCTTTTACTTTTCCTGTTGAGTTCCATAGCATTCTTTAACTGGAGCTCATACATTCTATTTCTCCTCTGGTAGAAAACATAGTCTGGGTCAACTCCTGTGTTCGCGTCATCTGCATAGAGTTGTTTATATCCCACTTCAGGGTTTGTATAAAACTCTTTCCATCTCATATTTGCATACCATGGTGGCAAACCTAACGCAGCGTCATTTGACATGGCAGTTTGCATTTGTACATCTGTTGGCACTTGACCATAGTTTGCCATTGCAGTTTGTATTCTAACTTCATTTGGAATATTCTCTGGGTTTGGTTGTCCAGGTTGCTGTGCATTCGCTAAGTTCTGTGCGTCCATTTATATATTAGATAAAAATATCTCTTACGAGTACATATGCTGAACATTTGCTGGCATTGGTTCATCTTCATATTCTCTATATCTTTCTGCCACGTCAAATAAGTAAATGACACAATGGAAAAAACCTAAAACAAGTAGTCCTATTTCAAACCACATTTAGTTACCAATAAAATTTCTTTGTTGTGACACTTTTTCCGGTTTATAGGACCTCTCTCATATTCTATCTTATCATATCTAAACTCATAGTCATGTATGTCCTCTAACCATCTCATAACAGTTTCCAAACCACTTTTATCGGATGTAAAGTAAAAGCATGGATGGTTATGTAAAACGTCTAAAGTTTCTAAAGAGTCTCTCAAAGTCCAGTCTACTTGGTATTGAAAATCGTATGTGTTATAGAACGGTGGGTCTACTATAAAGAAAACATTTTCCTTGTCTTTGTATTTTTCATACAACTCTGTCCAATGACATCTCACAAACTCTATACCCTCAATATATTTTTCTATGTTCTCTTTGAAAACCTTTGTATAGTTAAGATATAAAACTTTTGACATAAGTGTTTCAATGTCATGAACTCTTATAGAACCACTATATAAAAGTCTAGAAGATATACTATCCCAGTCAATATACTCTGCCTTTTTCAAAACCTCTCTTACAATATTTTTCTTATCTAATGGTATACGTTCCATCTTACCTATAGGTATCTTTTCTTTCAACTCACTCAATATTTTGTTTGTGTCTGGTATATGTTTGAGACGGTTCATATAGTTGTCGAAGTCATTGCATATAATCTTTGAGTCTGGGAATACGGTATGGCACAGATGAGATATATAGAAACTTCCACCGAACAAATCTACAAATGTTAGACCATTCGGTAGTTTCTTAAGTTCTCTCAATAGAATATCTTTACATCTACTCTTATTTCCAAAGAAGGGTAACGGTGGTTTTGTAAAATTCATTTTATATATATAATAAAAATGTTTTTTCCTGAAAAGTGACAGAAAAGGCTTCTCAAAGTATACTTCCTTGGAACGCCCGTAACTTTTCCTGTCGCAACGATAGACTCTTACCTGTCCGGACATAGTTATACTATTTTTTTACCGAAAAGTCAACAGCAACGACTTTCAAAAATTTTAGGGGCTAGAGGGCACGAAGTGCCTGGAAGCCCCCTTTACCCAAAAAAACCTCATTTTATATAAACTGCATTTTATACTAAAACATCTTAGGGGCTAGAGGGCACGAAGTGCCTGGAGGCCCCACTACCTTTTTTTTTTTTTTTTTTTTTTTATAGCTCTTTGGGAAATTCAATACTTGTTAATTTATCACAATGCCAAAATGCATATTCACCAATGACTTGAACATTTGGTACTGATATCTTCTCTAACTTTATGCATCTATAAAATGCGGAATCACTTATAGCGAAAACATCAGGAAGATTTATTTCTCTAAGTTCTGTACAATTTCCAAAACTTCCATATCCCAAAGCCATGATATTAGAACTAAACTCAACTGTTTGAAGTTTGGACCAAAACGCAAAAGCATAATCTGATAACTTATAAATATCTTCTGATAAATACTTTATTGATGTTATCTTTGTTTCACCATACTCAACTCCCATAAAATCAGATAACTTAGGTGGAACAATTACTTTTAATGGTTTCGTTAAGTAACTAAATGCCACTGTATTGATTGAATCTATTTCATCAGGAATTTGAAATTCATTTATATCGGTCTCTGTATAAATACTAAGTTCATTGTTTTGAAGCCAAACAATACCATAATTCTTTTCAGCAATTAAAGGATTGTTTGTAAATGAAATCCTTGGTAATTTTAGGAAGCCTTTCAGTAAATTTAAGTCAAAACTTGCTCTCTCCCCATCAAATGTAATTTGTTTCAGATTTTTACAATTAAGAAATACAAATTCACCAGTACAATCAATAGGTAAAGTTACTGAACTAATACTTGTTTCATCAAAAGCATACCTATCTAGTTTATGGATATTTTCTAAATTAATTTTCTTTAATTTGTTATAGCCGCTAAAGCACTTATAACCAATTTCTGTGATTGATGGACATAAGATGACTTCTTCCAAGTTTTTATTCGGATTGGGAGTTTGCCATGAATCAAAATCTAATGTTACTAAATTTGTAATTGTTTGACTGAATTTAAGAATTTTAACATCAAATCTGAAGTCAGACATTGTGCTTGAATCAAAATCCAATACTTCAAGCGTTGTATATCCATTATAATAGTAAGAATTCATATCTCTGTAGGAAGTAATTGTAATGCGACATTCGTTCCAAAATGTTTGTACATCTTGTGATACTGTTGGACTTTTAGTCAAATGTGCAGCAAATAGTGAACACTTAAGCATATTTTGAACTAAAATGATTTTTTTAAAAAAAAATTGAATCCATATTCAATCAAAATTCTTAAAAAAAAGTAAAGAGCCTCATAATTAAAACAACAATTATATAATTTGAATATAACAACAATTATTCAATTATCCAAATAATAATGTATCCTAAGTTTAATGCTCGCTCGTATGATTATCCAATTATTGAAAATGCGATTCAATAATTTCAGAGGCAAAACCGTCATATGTCAGGAAAATTAACGCACTGGAATAAATATTTCATCAGTATGTATAAACAAATGAATTTTTAATATCAGTAATCTGAAAGCAAAAAATAAATCTGAATTTTTCGAATTCAAAGTTTAAATATTGAATAATGCACATTATTATTTAAAAATCAAAATCCATCATGCTAATTCGTTCCTTAGAGGAATCTCGATTAACCACATCTAAAATTAATTGTGAAAATAAATAGTTAACAATTTTTTCCTGATTGTTCTTATCTTTCAGGACTAACCGTAGTGTAGAGAACGATCCTGATTTAAGTTTCTAAATATATTCAATTTAATTTGTATTTTAAAGTGAATCATTAATACCAAAATAAATTACTAATCATACAATTACAACAACCACGAATGTTATTGAAATAAATTTTGATTGAATACATTTCTTTTCCTTTATAATTCTTCCAAATTTAAAAATATTCAATTTTTTTGTGAAGTTTACTGTTCATTTCAAATTAATGTTGAAAAATCTTCTTCTATCAAATTTAATTAAAAATGAGATCAAGCTCAATAAACAAATGCAGATCAACAATAATATAATGATATTCAACTCAAACAACGATTTTTGGATGCAAGTATTAAAAGTCAGATTAAAACTCACAATATTGATACAATCAATATAGAAAATGATATTAATGAAATAAATTACTTTTTGGGAATAGAATTAATCAAGAATATCAATATTAATACAGATCACACTGTATCTCTTTCAGATTCACTATTCTATGGATCAAGGAATATAGAATCAGTAACTTGTACAAATAATATTGTTGTTGGTCCAAAGTGTTTTGAACAATCTACAATAAGAAACATAGATTTCACAAAAATAACGGAAATAGGTGAAGATGCATTTAAAAACTGTTATAATATAAAGAACGCTGATCTAAAATCATTGACAAGTATAGGTAATTCTGCATTTGCTTCAAGTGGATTAGAATCTGTGATCATTCCTTCAACAATATCAAAAATTCCTGATCATTGTTTCTATCAATGTCCAAATCTAACAAATGTTGAATTCAAAGGTCCTGTTGATATTTATCAATATGCATTCGCAGATTGTTTTCAATTGTCAAATGTTGTTCCTGGATTTGAACAAATTTCTCATATCAAACATTATGGATTCAGAGGATGTTCAGTTCATAAACTAAAATCCAACGACTGTGAACTTGGTGGTGGTGTTTTCCAAAATTCACACGTCGAAAGTATTGATGCAACGAACCTTAAGATTGCATCTAAAGATTTCCGAGGTTGTCGAAATCTTGTTTATGTCAACATCACAGGAACACTCGAAATTATTGACGGACCTCCTCCAGAAGTTCCTTATTACTATGAAAGACCACATGAAGTTGAAACAGAGCGCTTAAGGTTTTATTTTCCTAGAGCATTCGCTTTCGAAGATTGTGTTTCGTTACAAGAATTCAAAGTAAATGCATGTCAACAAATTGGAGATTCATATTTCAGAAACTGTTTGAAACTGAAAGAAATCAAAATTGTTTCAGAAGTTCTTGGATCTCATTCATTCATGAATTGTGTTTCATTAGAATCAGTCGACTTGCGAACAGTTACTCAGATTGGTGATGGATGTTTTGGAGGATGTGAAAATCTTAAGAGTATTATTGGATTAGAAACATCAAGAACATATGATGCCAATGTTTTCAATGACTGTCCAAACTTAGTTATTTCGGAAGTTGGCAATGTTGGTTGGGAAATGTTTTCAATGTGTCATTCAATCACAAGTGTTGTTTTCAAAGGCACAGAATTACAAAACGGTGTTTTTATGCATTGCTTGAATTTAGAAAGTTTCGAATGTCAGAGTAGCTTTCAATCTATTCCAGAAAAGTGTTTTTATGGATGTATCAAACTTATTACTGTAATATTACCTCCATCTGTTACAAATATTGGCAATTATGCATTTTTCAATACATCTCTTCGAAATGGTTTCACATTTGATAGTATTCAAAAAATTGGTGATCTATCATTTGCATACACTCACTTACAAACTGTTACTCTATTCGAAATCAGATATGATTACTATATGAAATATCCAATTTTGATGCAATTCAAAAATAGAGAATATGCAGTATATGTAGCCCCATTCAAATGTTGTAATGATTTGACAAAGGTTGTTTTCAAATGATCAGAAGCACCTCCAATGACTGGATTTTTCGATGAATGTGAAAAATTAACCGAGATAGAAGTTATTTCTGATAACTACATTCTTGAAAATGATGTAGTTTATAACAAAGAAAAGACAAGAATTATCTCATTCTCAATCATATCTCCAATAGAATCTTTCACTGTTCCTGAATCAGTTAAAGCATTAAATGATTTAGCATTTTATGGCACAAAGAATTTGAAAAATTTGACATGTAAACATATTGTTGAAATCGTTTATGCAACATTTCTTAAATCATCTCTAGAATATATTATATTGACTGATGATTCGAATACTTTCATATTACAAGGATTTACATTTTCATATTCATCAAATCTGAAATATGTTGAAGTCAACTGTGAAATTTTTCAAATGTGCGATTTCATGTATTGTACAAGTCTAGAATTTGTCAAAACCAATGCAAATCGAATAGGACCTGGAGTATTTATGTTTTGTAAATCTTTGAAAGAATTTAGTTTCAAAGGAGTTAAAGAAATTCAAACAAAAGCATTTTCCAATTGTCATTCATTAAATAGAATAGAATTTGATCCCAATATCCAGGGAATTGCAGGTTTCGCATTTAAAAATTGCATAAACATTCAAGAAGTTATATTTGATCAATTAACACAAATGAGCGGAATTGAACAAGGAGTATTTATGAATTGTATTCGTTTATCATCAGTTGCTCTTCCAATTTATATGCAGAATATTATGGATTTTGCATTTGCAAATACTTCTTTGAAGGAAATTAGAATTCCTCCAACAGCTCAAGTTATGTCACATGCCTTAGATAATAATCCAAACATAAAAATAATAAATACACTTGTTTATGAGAATGAATTTGTAACATATTCTAGAGGGGAAAAAACTTTTATTACAACATTAAGTAAACCAAATTCTACCTATACAGTTCCAGATGGAATAGATCAACTAAATGCATTAGCAATTAACTCAAATCATGTTTTTAATGAAACTATTGGTGCATATGAAAATGATTTAGGAATTCTAACTCTGATTATACCAGAATCAGTTCATCAGATTAGTATTGGAGGCAATACACAATTCTTTCAATTAGGATTGCATTTTGTTGAAAACATTTGTTACAATGGTACTGAATTAGAAATGCAGATATATTATAGTGATGCATTGCGTTACTTTAGTTCGTTTTTATATTATCCAATGGATCCGGAGATGATGGGTGGCTATTTGGTTGATATTGATGGACCATTTCCAAATCCAAAACTTTATGCACCTAACTTGAAGGTTTCTGAATATTATATGAGTGCTTTCCAAATTTTGCGAGAACCATGTCCTGAAAGTGTAACACCACCTGAAAAAATTATTGATGAAGCAGATATTATTCATAAAAAGATTGTTATCAAAAAGGATCAAACACGAAATTCCGAGACTGCTTCTAGTAATTTCAATTCGTATACACAAAGTTCAACCACAGAAAGTTCAAATGATCCTATTTTGTCAATAGAAGGTGGAAATGCATCAAATAATGATTCAAAATTATCATCGAGAGAGAAGATAACTATTGCAGTTTGTGTTTCTCTATTAATTGTTGTTATAGTTTTGTCTGTCATATACATTTTCATCAGAGAAAAAACATCAACAATATCAGATGATAGTGATGTCTTCGAAATGGCTGAAGAAACAAAACAAACTGGAACTGCAGTTACATATGATAATCCATTCTTTTCAGCACATGGATCTCTGCAAGATGATCCATTTGCATCCGATTTCCAAAATGATGATGAACAAGATCAATATTTCAGAGATGGTGATGATGAATAAAAATTTCGATTATATGTTAAATATTTCATTCTAATTTTTTGCAATAAATTGTTTTACTGAAATATGTAGTATTGTATTTCATAAGATAGATCGATTCTAATTATGATTATATGTTAAATGTTTAATTTTAGATTTTTGTTTGTATTAGGGGAATTATTTTTGGATTGATTCAAATCATAAAAAAAACTTTTAATTTTCGTTTATTTATTCAGCTAATATCCTAGTGGTATTAATTAGAACTTCGCATCCTTTTTCGTCGACTTCAACATATTCATATTCAATGTAATTCTTCCGATCAATAACACTATATCTATTGAGTCTATCTCTATTTAATATTAGTTTGTCTGTATTTTTTACAGCTGTTGGAACATTATGTTCCCACGAAGCAGGTGTCATTTCTGTTGTAAAAACTTTGTATAATACATAGATATCAGGACCATAATTCATTCGAAGTGCATCTAATCTTTCAGAACGCATTGTTGGGTTAATCATCTTATGACCTGTTTTATTAATTGAAAATGGGGCATAGAATGAATAACTCATTGCAGATTCATCAAGAGAAATAACCGATTGAGGAAGTTTTAGAATAGGAATTCTTTCTGAATTAAGAACCATTACCAAATCTTCATTATTATAGTTGGAATCCCTCGCCAAATAGTCATATTCAGAGAGTTGGAGACTGAGTTCATCAAAACTCTTCATACCTTCACTAACTTCATATATTTCTTCTTGAAGGCCAAAAACACAAACAACTGTCATAGAACTCTTGATATATAGTTCGTGTGATGTAACACAGAATATTGGATGATCATCATGAACTATCAGTTTTAGATTTCTGCAGAATGCGAACGAAGATCCATTGACGAACATTATTTTATTTGTTATTTCGAATGTTTCTAACTTTGTTGACGCGAAAGCAAAACCAGGAATTTTTGTCAATTGATTTCCAATATTTATATTTTTAAGTGATTTACAATTCGCAAAACAATACTGACCAATATTAAATAACTCTTTCGGAAATTCAATACTTATTAATTTATCACAATGCCAAAATGCATATTCACCAATGATTTGGACATTTGGAGCTATTACCGTTTCTAGTTTAAAGCACCGATAAAATGCATAATTACTAATTGAGAAAACATCAGGTAGATTTATTTCTCTAAGTTCTGTACAATTTGCAAAACTTAGTCCAATTGGAGAATGAATAATCCGGTAATTTGAATAAGTTGCTATTCAAATATTTTATTGATGATATTTTTGATGTGACATAATCAATTCCCATGAAATTTGATAATTTAGGTGAGACAATTACTTTTAATGGTTTTGTTATGTAACTAAATGCATATGAATTTATTGAATCAATTTCATCAGGAATTGGAAATTCATTTATATCGCTTTCTATGTATATACTAAGTTCCTTATTTTGCAGTTTAACAACACCATAATTCTTTTCTACAATCAATGGATTATTTGTAAATGAAATCTTTGGCAACTTTAATAATCCTTTCAAAACTCTTTTGTCAAAGCTTTGTCCTTCTCCATCAAATGTAATTTGTTTCAAATTTTTGCAGTTTGTAAATGATTCATCAACATTACAGTCAATTCTTAAAGTTATAGAACTAAGGTTTGTTCCTTCAAAAGCATTAATGCCCAGTATTCGTACATTTTCTAAATTAATTTTAGAAAGTTTAGTATATCCATTGAAACATTTAGCATCTATTTGAGTGATTGATGAACATAGTATAACCTCTTCTAAATTTTTATGATTATTTGTTATACCATTGTAATTAAAAGTTAAAGTTGTTAATGTTGTAATTGAATTGCTAAATTTAAGAATTTTAACACTAAATGCAAAGAAAGTCAGTTTTGGTGAATCATAATCCAGTACTTCAAGCGTAGTAAAGTCATTAAAATTATAGTTATACATATCATTCTGTGATGTAATGGTAATGCGACCTTCGATCCAATAAGATTGGAGTGTCCGTGATATTATTGGACTCTTGCTTAAATAAGTTGCAAATAGTGAACACTTCAACATCTAATTTATTTTTTCGTCTGAAATCCTAATTCGAAAGATATTGAATTAATTTTTTTGGTAAATTAAAGAATTCAAAATTATAAATTCATACGTTTCTTTTTCTTTATTACTTTTTTTGGTTGACAAATTTTTGAGAATAGTTTAAACCGTCAAATATTATAATCTGCATTTCGGATAACATATATAATATATACACATATGTGAAGATAAAATTTAATGTCAATAACATGAAATCGAAATCCAAATCTTCTTGCAAAATTGAGAAGTTTACAAAATGAAAATTTTAATTGAAATACTTTTCAACAATTTTACAATCGTTTTCGGCTTTTAGTTTTGATAATAGTATACAAAAAGAATAGTTTTTTACAATTACCAAAAATTTGAATTACCTCAATGAACATTTTTCTTTAGAAAATTTTCAAACAACAGGAATTCAGTTTTAATAAGTAACATTTCCTTCCAACATAAATTCCAGATATTTAATTTTTTTAGACAATCAAATTAATGACAATTGTGAAGTTTACAATATTTTTCAAATTAATGTTTAAGCGTCTATTCATTACCAATATGATAACAAGTGAGATAAAACTTAACGCACAAATACAGATCAATAACGGTAAAATGATATTTAACTCAATTGATGATTTTTCGGATGCGAGAATTATTGAACAGATTAAAACTAACAATATCGATACAATTAATATCGAAAACAATATCAATGAAATAAAATACTTTTTGGGAATAGAGTTCATCAAAAACGTTAATATTAATTCAGATCAAACTGTGACTCTCTCTGATTCACTATTCTATGGATCAAGAAATATAGAAACAATAATTTGTACAAATAATATTGTTGTTGGTCCAAAGTGTTTTGAACAATCTACAATAAGAAACATAGATTTCACAAAAATAACGGAAATAGGTGAAGATGCATTTAAAAACTGTTTTAATATAAAGAGTGCTAATCTAAAATCATTGATAAGTATAGGTAATTCTGCATTTGCTTCAAGTGGATTAGAATCTGTGATCATTCCTTCAACAATATCAAAAATTCCTGATCATTGTTTCTATCAATGTCCAAATCTAACAAATGTTGAATTCAAAGGTCCTGTTGATATTTATCAATATGCATTCGCAGATTGTTTTCAATTGTCAAATGTTGTTCCTGGATTTGAACAAATTTCTCATATCAAACATTATGGATTCAGAGGATGTTCAGTTCATAAACTAAAATCCAACGACTGTGAACTTGGTGGTGGTGTTTTCCAAAATTCACACGTCGAAAGTATTGATGCAACGAATCTTAAGATTGCATCTAAAGATTTCCGAGGTTGTCGAAATCTTGTTTATGTCAACATCACAGGAACACTCGAAATTATTGACGGACCTCCTCCAGAAGTTCCTTATTACTATGAAATGTGACTTTTTATAGGATCTGAACGTTTCAATTACCATTTCCCCAGAGCATTCGGTTTCGAAGATTGTGTTTCGTTACAAGAATTCAAAGTAAATACATGTCAACAAATTGGAGATTCATATTTCAGAAACTGTTTGAAACTGAAAGAAATCAAAATTGTTTCAGAAGTTCTTGGATCTCATTCATTCATGAATTGTGTTTCATTAGAATCAGTCGACTTGCGAACAGTTACTCAGATTGGTGATGGATGTTTTGGAGGATGTGAAAATCTTAAGAGTATTATTGGATTAGAAACATCAAGAACATATGATGCCAATGTTTTCAATGACTGTCCAAACTTAGTTATTTCGGAAGTTGGCAATGTTGGTTGGGAAATGTTTTCAATGTGTCATTCAATCACAAGTGTTGTTTTCAAAGGCACAGAATTACAAAACGGTGTTTTTATGCATTGCTTGAATTTAGAAAGTTTCGAATGTCAGAGTAGCTTTCAATCTATTCCAGAAAAGTGTTTTTATGGATGTATCAAACTTATTACTGTAATATTACCTCCATCTGTTACAAATATTGGCAATTATGCATTTTTCAATACATCTCTTCGAAATGGTTTCACATTTGATAGTATTCAAAAAATTGGTGATCTATCATTTGCATACACTCACTTACAAACTGTTACTCTATTCGAAATCAGATATGATTACTATATGAAATATCCAATTTTGATGCAATTCAAAAATAGAGAATATGCAGTATATGTAGCCCCATTCAAATGTTGTAATGATTTGACAAAGGTTGTTTTCAAATGATCAGAAGCACCTCCAATGACTGGATTTTTCGATGAATGTGAAAAATTAACCGAGATAGAAGTTATTTCTGATAACTACATTCTTGAAAATGATGTAGTTTATAACAAAGAAAAGACAAGAATTATCTCATTCTCAATCATATCTCCAATAGAATCTTTCACTGTTCCTGAATCAGTTAAAGCATTAAATGATTTAGCATTTTATGGCACAAAGAATTTGAAAAATTTGACAAGCACTCATTCTGTAGAAGTGGGTAATGCAGCATTCATGAAATCATCTCTAGAAAATATTATGTTGACTGATCCATCTCGAAAATTTCAGATAGGGGGGTTCTTGTTTTCATATTCAACAAATCTTAAATATGTCGAAATAAATTGTGAACAATTTCAAATGTTTGACTTCTTATATTGTGTAAATCTGGAATACGTTAAAACCCCAATTATTCAAATAGGCAATGGAGTCTTTATGTTCTGCAAATCTTTAATAGAAATTGATCTTAAACATGTAATAGAGATTGGCAATAAAGCATTCTCTTATTGCTCTTCATTTTATGCTTTTAAAGATTGTATTAACATTGAAGAAGTTGCATTCAATCAAATATCCAACACAGAATATATATGCTTTGGAGCATTTAAGAATTGCATTAGTTTATCTTCTGTTTCATTTCCTCCATTCTTAGATGCAATTTTGGATCATGCATTTGAAAATACATCATTGAAAGAATTAAGAATTCCAACAATAACACGTGTCTATTCCCACGCTTTTGACAATAATAGAAATATACTTATAATAAATACTGTTGTTTATGGACATGAATTTATTATGTATATGGATAGCCATAAAATATTTTCAACAACATTAGGTAAACAAAATTCAACATATACATTTCCAGATGAAATTGATCGAGTGGATGCATTAGCATTAAATTCAAATCATGTTTTCAATGAAACTATTGGTGCTTATGAAAATGATTTAGGAATACGTACTCTTATAGTACCTGAATCAGTTCATGAAATTTCAATTGGAGGCATTTCTGGTGCCTATAGGTTAGGATCACATTTTATTGAAAATATTTGTTATAATGGAACAGATTTACAAATGTCAATTCCTTATAGAGAAGGATTACAATATTTCAAAATGTTTTTATATAATCAAATGGATCTTGAAATGCTTGATGGAGCCATTTCGGTGGATCTTGATGGGCCATTCCCATATCCAAAAATTTATGCTCCAAATATGATGATTAACGAACCTTATATGTACGGTTTCCAATATGTAAATGAACCATGTCCTGAAACTGTAACACAGCCAGAAAAAATAATAAGTGAATCAAATATTATTCATAAAAAGATTGTTGTCAAAAAGGATCAAATAAAGAATTCTGAAACTGCTTCTAGTAACATCAATTCAAATACACAAAGTTCAAATGATCCGATTATATCAATTGAAAATGGAAATGCATCAAATAATGATTCAAAATTATCATCGAGAGAGAAGATAACTATTGCAGTTTGTGTTTCTCTATTAATTGTTGTTATAGTTTTGTCTGTCATATACATTTTCATCAGAGAAAAAACATCAACAATATCAGATGATAGTGATGTCTTCGAAATGGCTGAAGAAACAAAACAAACTGGAACTGCAGTTACATATGATAATCCATTCTTTTCAGCACATGGATCTCTGCAAGATGATCCATTTGCATCCGATTTCCAAAATGATGATGAACAAGATCAATATTTCAGAGATGGTGGTGTTGAATAATAAAAATTTTCGATTTTGCTCTTTGTTTTAAATTAAATACAACTAAATCAAAAACAAGTTTAATTTTAAATATTAATACTAAGTTTTTTGTTACTTTATTCAGCTGCTAAAGTTTTATTAATTAGAATTTCGTTTCCTTTTTCATCGACTTCAACATATTCAATTTCAGTGTAATTCTTTTGATCAATAACACTATATCTATTGATCCGATCTCTATTTAAGATCAGCTTGTCAGTATTTTTGACAGCTGTTGGAACTCTGTGTTCTCATGAAGCAGGTGTCATTTCTGTTGAAAATACTTTATACAGTGAAACTTTTCTGCCAGGAGGTATTACATACATTTCTTGGTATTCATCAGGACATCTTGTTGGATTAATCATCTTATAACCAGTTTTATTAATTGAAAATGGAGTAAAGAAGCAATATTTCATCGCAGATTCATCAAGAGAAATAACAGATTTAGGTAATTTCAGAATAGGTATCCTATCCGAATTGAGAATCATAACCAATTCATCATTAAATGGTTGATCTCTTATTAAATAATCATATTCAGAAAGTTGGAGACTGAGTTCATCAAAACTCTTCATACCTTCACTAACTTCATATATTTCTTCTTGAAGGCCAAAAACACAAACAACTGTCATAGAACTCTTGATATATAGTTCGTGTGATGTAACACAGAATATTGGATGATCATCATGAACTATCAGTTTTAGATTTCTGCAGAATGCGAACGAAGATCCATTCACAAACATTATTTTATTTGTTATTTCGAATGTTTCTAACTTTGTTGACGCGAAAGCAAAACCAGGAATTTTTGTCAATTGATTTCCAATATTTATATTTTTAAGTGATTTACAATTCGCAAAACAATACTGACCAATATTAAATAACTCTTTCGGAAATTCAATACTTATTAATTTATCACAATGCCAAAATGCATATTCACCTATAATTTGAACATTTGGGACTGATATCTTCTCTAAATTTATGCATTTATAAAATGCATAATCACTTATTGCGAAAATATCAGGAAGATTAATTTCTCTAAGTTCAAAACATTTCGAAAAGCAGCTTTGTCCTATGGAAATTACTTTAGAGTTGAATTCAATTGATTGTATTTTTTTCCAATTAAAGAATGAATAGTCAGGTAATTTGATAATCTTGCTAGATAAAAATTTAATGGAAGTTATTTTTGAATTTGCAAAACCTTCTCCCATAAAATTAGTTATTTTTGAAGATACAATAACTTTTAACGGATTTAGTAAATAACCAAATGCATCAGTATTTACATTGTCAATTTCATCTGGAATTTGAAACTCATTTCTTTCACTTTCCCTAAAAATATAAAGTTCTTTGTTTTGGATTTTCACAAGGCCATAATCTCTATCTTCAAATACATTATTATTTATGAAAGAAAATCTGGAAAATCTAAATAATCCTTCTAAAACTCGAGTGTAAAAATTCGAACCTTCTCCGATATATGTAATTTGTTCCAGATTAGTACAGTTGGCGAAAGGACCATCACAAATGCAGTCTATCGACAAAGTTACTGAACTGAGATTAGTGTTCGCAAATGCATTTATTCTCAACTGCTGAACATTTTCTAAATTTATTTCCTTTAATTTATTACAATCTCCAAAACAATTTTCAGAAATTGACTTGACTGAAGGACATAATATGACTATTTCCAAATATTTACTGCCTGAAATGTGTTGTAAAGTTGTTAAAGTTGTAATAGTTTGACTAAAGTTCACAATTTTTACATCAAAGTAGAAGGATTCCAATGTTGATGAATCGTAATCAAGTACTTCAAGCGTTATATATGTTTTAGGGTCCAGATAACCATAATCATTTTTTGAAGTAATTGTAGCGCGATTTTCACTAGGATATTTTTGCAATATAGATGATATCACTAGTTTTTTTGATAAATACTGAGTGAATATTGAACATTGAAGCATATTAATATTGCAATTTTTTAATACTATATTCAATTTTTTTAAATTTCATTATGGAAGACTTATTTTCTGATACATATTATATATATGTATATATATTAATGACATTTAGAGTTATTTGGTTAAGATTATGAAAGATTTTTTCTCAAATAAAAAGAAATAGAATAAATGAAGATTAAAATTAATAATTAATTTTGCTGACCAACTATCCAAATTATATTGAAATAATTGAATACGTCACTTACATGCGAACCACAATCGTCCAAAAGAGTAACTAATGAATAAATTGATTATGATTTTTAGAACCAAAGGAAGAAATTACATCTCAAATCTGAAACCGCCAATTTTCTATATTATCGTACAGTCTTTAATTTTTAGAAGAAATCAAATTCACATCCTATATTAAATTCCTGATTTAATTATTTTAAAATTTATCATGCTAAGAATAAGAATTTCAGTGATATTCAAAAAATTGGAAAGCAATTTAACTGTTCATAATTTGAAAATCCATAAGGCATAGTATTCAAAAAATCTATCTAATTCGATATTAATATGTTTTCTTAGTTAAATACTTTCAAAAATTTAACAATCACTGAATTCAAATATTCTTCAAAAATTATACCTTTAACTATAGATATCATCCTAGAAATTCACAGAATTTTCACAAAATTTTGTGGCAATTGAATCCATTTCAAATCCATGTTTAAGTGTATTTTTATTTCGAAATTAATTAGTAATGAGATAAAACTCGCAACACAAGTTCACATCAATAGCAATATAATGATATTCAACACAAATGATGACTTTTCTGATGAAACCATATTCGAACAAATATTCACTCACAACATTGACACAATGAAAGTACAAGGTGAAATATCAGAAACAAAATACTTTTTGGGAATTGAATTCATCAAAAAAGTTAATATTAATACTGATCACGTTGTGATACTTTCAGATTCACTATTCTATGCATCAAGGAATATAGAATCAGTAACTTTTACAAATAATATTATTGTTGGTCCAAAGTGTTTTGAACAATCTACAATAAGAAACATAGATTTCACAAAAATAACGGAAATAGGTGAAGATGCATTTAAAAACTGTTTTAATATAAAGAGTGCTAATCTAAAATCATTGACAAGTATAGGTAATTCTGCATTTGCTTCAAGTGGATTAGAATCTGTGATCATTCCTTCAACAATATCAAAAATTCCTGATCATTGTTTCTATCAATGTCCAAATCTAACAAATGTTGAATTCAAAGGTCCTGTTGATATTTATCAATATGCATTCGCAGATTGTTTTCAATTGTCAAATGTTGTTCCTGGATTTGAACAAATTTCTCATATCAAACATTATGGATTCAGAGGATGTTCAATTCATAAATTGAAATTCAACGATTGTGAACTTGGTGGTGGTGTTTTCCAAAATTCACACGTCGAAAGTATTGATGCAACGAATCTTAAGATTGCATCTAAAGATTTCCGAGGTTGTCGAAATCTTATTTTTGTCAACATCACAGGAACACTCGAAATTATTGATGGACCTCCTCCAGAAGTTCCTTATTACTATCAAAATAATATGGGACTTGTTGAAATTTTTAAGTTTGATTTTCCAAGGGCTTTCGCTTTCGAAGATTGTGTTTCGTTACAAGAATTCAAAGTAAATGCATGTCAACAATTTGGAGATTCATGTTTCAGAAACTGTTTGAAACTAAAAGAAATCAAAATTGTTTCAGAAATTCTTGGATCTCATTCATTCATGAACTGTATTTCGTTGGAAACAGTTGACTTGCGAACAGTTACTCAGATTGGTGATGGATGTTTTGGAGGATATGAAAATCTTAAGAGTATTATTGGATTAGAAACATCAAGAGAATACGGTGGCAATGTTTTCAGTGACTGTCCAAATTTAGTTATTTCAGAAGTTGGAAATGCTGGTTGGGAAATGTTTTCAATGTGTCATTCAATCACAAGTGTTGTATTCAAAGGTACAGAATTACAAAATGGAGCTTTTATGCATTGTTTAAATTTGGAATCTTTTGAATGCCAAAGTAATATTCAATCTATTCCAGAAAAGTGTTTTTATGGATGTGTCAAACTTATTACTGTAATATTACCTCCATCTGTTTCTATGATCGGCAATTATGCATTTTTCAATACATCTCTTCGAAATGGCTTTGCATTTGATAATATTCGAATGGTTGGAGATCTATCTTTTGCATACACTCACTTACAAACTGTTACATTATTTGAAATTAGATATATATATTGTTCCGTACCGAAATGCATCACTAGAAAAAGTGACAAAAAGTGGCACTTACTCTTATTTTGCGCGGCAATTTTTCTAAGTTATTTTGTTAAGCTAAATGTGTTATATATCAAATCAGCTTTATAAATATTATAGAAAAGTTTATTTTTATTTTTATTTTTAATTATTATTATTATTTTTTAAATTAAAAGAAAACATTAGAATTATATGGATATATTTAAATTAATTATAAAAATAAAATTGAATATATTGAAGTTTGAGTTTATAGGTATACAAATTTTAGAGGCATTTTGGCTGAGAACTATGGTCTGCGAGGTACATGGATAGAATCAGTACCTCGCAGACCATAGTTCTCTATATGGCGCCGAAAATTTTTGGTGAAATGTCGTCGCATTTCACCAAAATTTTTTCGGTGCCATAGGAAGAATTGGAGGGTGTGAGATACTATTACATACTATAGTACTCACACCCTCCAATTCTTAGCCAAAACGGCTTAAAATTGCTCACAATTTCAACAATTGTGAGCAATTTTCAGCCATTTTGGCTGAGAACTATGGTCTGCGAGGTACATGGATAGAATCAGTACCTCGCAGACTATAGTTCTCTATATGGCGCCCAAAAAAAATTTATGATTGTTTTTTATCAAATCTTATCCATATTATTCTATTTGTTGTAAACAGAAATTCATCAAAAGTGACACCTCAGAAAAGCTAAAATATTGAATTTTTGGAACTTTTGATAGAGCACGTTTTTAAATATTAATTAAAGTAAATGTATATGTTGTAAAGATTCTTTTTAATAAAAAATAAAATTTTGAAGAAGAACACAAAATCTTCTGAAAAATAATATCACATATACTCATATTATTTTCTAATATATAACTATTTTATAAAAAATCAAATTCAATGATCTTAAAAGCGAAGGATAAACCTCAAAATTTACGAATATAATGAGTGGGAATATAATGCTTATCTATCATAAAACCATATGAAATATCAATTTTTGCTTTACGCCTAATTTTTGACGACAATTAGCAAAAAATGTTAAATGTTAACACTCAGTCCATTTGAATATGAAAAATAAAATTGACTTTGATTAAATGTTTTTATTTATCATGCAATTCTTCTTGCGACCAAAGATTTGAATAAAATTTCAAAAAATAAGATAGCTTAAAAAATAATATACGGTAGTGTTTACTAATAGATGAATAGTATATAAATTCTATTAAAATGGATTTGATCCAAAAAAATATATAAAATTTGATCATAAATAAAATTGTTTAGTAGTCATTTAAAATGATGTAATTATTCAAATTTTGCTAAGACTCATTCGTCTTTGATATATAACTCCCATTTTTGCATTTCTGGCTCGTACCAAAATTTTGAAACTTCGAATAATTCGTTAGGAGTGTAATTACTATTCGTTTTTGGATTAATATAGAGAGATAAATATGGTGTATTGTTGTATTTTTCAATGAACTGCTGAACTGAGTCCTTGATTTGTTGAATATCATCCAACTCGTCTGGCAAAAACTTTTCTAAGCTTGGCCACAGGCGCTCCACCTTGCCGTTCTGTCTTGGCATATACGGCAAGGTGTGCTTCCAAACTATTCCGTTTTCCTGCATAACCTGGCCGAATTCACTGCGGTTTTCACCGCCGTTATCGGTCCAGATGCAGTAAGGAATAAACTCCTCTAAAAGTTTTCTTAAAACCTTCGCTGTTGAGTTGGAAGACTTGTTTTTCAATAATTTAGTTTTGAGAACTTTACGTGTCATATCATCCAATATGGCAAAAAATGGAAAAGAAACATTACCGTGAAGGTAATGAATATCGCAGTACCATATCAAATTCTTTGATATGGCACGATATTTGGTAGGTGGATCTGCTGGTTTGTAATCTCTTTTTGAAGATAAACCTGATTCCATCATAAATTTTTCCACTTGATGATGCTTTATTTTTTGTAAATTGTCAAAAATTTGATCTTTTGTCAAATCTTCTATATTTTCAAATTCTTTTGCAATTTCTTCTTTTTCTTTCTCACAATCGGGATTTTGAGCAATATTTTGAAACCTTTTAATCAATAAATAAGTTTTTGAAATTCCTCCTTTATATTGTGAAACACAAGAATTAATTAATTGTTTTTGCTCAAATGTTGGTGGATTTGCTTTTCTGCCGCGACTAACTTTTGGTAATTCGATTTCTTGAAGTTGAAATGCTCTTCTTATTGTATTTTCGGCAACATTCAATTTAATTTTACCATTTTCCACTTCAACTTCCTTTCCCACAGTTTTGTAAGATTCACCTTCTTCTATTCTTCTTTTAGCTTCAAATAGCCATTCTCTGCTTATAGATTTGGCAGTAGTCATAAAAGTGGTCCTTCTTTTGTGATAAGATTCAAATTTGAATGTGGATGATAAATAAAAATCAAAAATAATTGTTATAATTTAAATGAAGAAGTAATTTAAAACGATTTTATTTATGATCAAATTTTATATATTTTTTGGATCAAATCCATTTTAATAGAATTTATATACTATTCATCTATTAGTAAACACTACCGTATATTATTTTTTAAGCTATCTTATTTTTTGAAATTTTATTCAAATCTTTGGTCGCAAGAAGAATTGCATGATAAATAAAAACATTTAATCAAAGTCAATTTATTTTTCATATTCAAATGGACTGAGTGTTAACATTTAACATTTTTTGCTAATTGTCGTCAAAAATTAGGCGTAAAGCAAAAATTGATATTTCATATGGTTTTATATAGATAAGCATTATATTCCCACTCATTATATTCGTAAATTTTGAGGTTTATCCTTCGCTTTTAAGATCATTGAATTTGATTTTTATATAAAATAGTTATATATTAGAAAATAATATGAGTATATGTGATATTATTTTTCAGAAGATTTCATTCTATATGCCTATGAAAAGTACTCTCAAAACTAACTTTTCCTAATTATAATTAAATCTAGAATATTGTATTATGCTTAGTATTATTTCATTTTTCTCATTCAATTTAGAATTTACAAATGTCAAAAAATTGAGAGCTGTCACTTTTGATGAATTTCTGTTTATTACATATTAATGTTAATTATATTTTATCAATTATATTTTTTAAATAATAAACACAAAATCCACTAATTTAAAATTGGCGCCAAATGTCACTTTTGCTAGTGATGCATTTCGGTATGATATAATTAGATATATATATGAACTAAAATATGACTATATAACAAAATTAAAAGATCGAGAAAACATTTTTGATGTTGCTCCTTTCAAATGTTGTAATGATTTGATTAAAGTTGTTTTCACTGGGTCATCTACACAACCAAAAATGATATTTTTTGATCATTGTGATAAATTAACCGAGATTGAAGTAATTTCTGATAATTACATTCTTGAAAATTATGCAATTTATGATAAAGAAAAAACAAAAATTATATCTTTTTCCACTGTATCTCCATTAGAATCTTTCATTGTTCCTGATAATATTCAGGAATTAAGCGATTTTTCTTTCTGTGGAACAAAAAATTTGAAAAATTTGGCTTGTAACCATTTTGTAAGAATAGGAATTGGTGCATTTCTCAAATCCTCTCTAGAAAATATTGTATTTACCGATGTTAACAATAATTACCAAATGGAAATGTTTACTTTTTCATATTCACAAAATCTCAAATATGTAGAAATCATCTGTCAACAATTCCCCATGTTTGATTTCCTATATTGTGTAAATCTAGAATATATCAAAGCTCCATTAACTCAAATAGGTGATGGAGTATTTATGCATTGTAAATCTTTAAAGGAAATCAAATTAAAAGATGTAACTGAAATTGGTATTAAATCATTCTTTGATTGCAAAACTTTAAAACAAATTAAATTTGGTCCTAAAATTCAAAATATTGGTAGTTATGCCTTTAAAAATTGTATAAATATTGAGGTTGTTGAATTTTTACAAGTTTGTAACTTGTATAATATCGAAATTGGAATATTTCAAAACTGCGTTCGCTTATCATCTGTAACTCTTCCTCTTTATCTTAACGCAATATTCGATTTGGCATTTGCCAACACTTCATTAAGAGAAATTAGAGTTCCATCAGTTGCAGAAGTAATGCCTCATGCCTTTTATTACAATCAAAATCTTATTAGGGTTATAAACACTGATGTTTTTGAACATGAATTAAGAATATACGCTGCTAGCGAATATAGGATTATTACAACATTAGGCAAACAGAATTCTACTTATAATGTTTCTGATGGATTTAGTTTTATAAATGTAGAAGCTATCAATTCACACCATATCTTTAATGATACAATTGGTGCTTATGAAAATGATTTAGGAATCAGAACATTGATAGTACCCGAATCTATTAATTACATTGGTCCGTTTAACAATGGACTATTTTATACTTTGGGATCGCACTTTCTTGAAAATGTTTGCACAAATAATAGCAATTTAAGAATTGAAATACCGTATTTTTATATTATTCTGAATTTTAATTACGACGTATATACACCACTTGATACAGAAATTCAAGGTAATGCTCGCTTGTATGATTATGATAGTCCAATTCCTTATCCTAAAATTTATGCTCCAAATATGAAAGTTTCCAGAACAAATGATTTCGGTTTCCAAGTTATAAATGAACCTTGTCCTGATTCTGTAACGCCTGCTGAAAAAATTATTGATAAATCAACTATTAATTATAAGAAGGTAATCGTCAAAAGAGATCAATCAAAAACATCAAACGCAAATTCAGGTTCTAAAATTGAAAGTTCATTTGATCCGATAATATTGAATAATGATGAAAGATCTGTAAATCCCAATTCGAACATAACATTGCGAGAGACAATCACGATTTCAATTTGTGCTTCAATTGTTGTTATTGTTATCATATTAGCAATTCTTTATGTTTATATGAAAACGAAGGCTCCGACTCTTTCAGATGATAGTGATATCCTCGAAATGGCCAAAGAAACAATTCATGCAAGTACTGCAGTTACATTCGATAATCCACTATTTATGACAACATCTGCTTTCCCTGATGATCCATTTGCTTCTGATTTCCAAAACGAAGAAATTAATATTGATTGTTTTAATAAAGATGATTTAGATGAATAAATATTAACTTATTATAAATACGCCCATATGACATTAATTAAATTTTCTGAATACTGGATTGAAATGTTAATGAGAATTAAAGACCCGAATTGAAGGTTATGTAACACAGGTGTGTGTGCATCCCAAAAAGTGATATAATATTTCCTTCTTTAAATGATAAAAATGTTATAATTTTATTTATTAGAAATAAATCATAATAAGGAATATACAAATTTATTCAGCCAATATTTTGGTTGAATTAATTAGAATTTCGTTTCCATTATCACCTACTTCAACATATTTAATGATAATGTAATTCTTGCGATCAATTACACTATATTTATTGATTCTATCTCTATTAAATATCAATTTAACATTACTTTTAACAGCTGTTGGCACACTATGTTCCCATGAAGCTGCTGTTATATCTGTTGAAAACGCTTTGTATAGTGGATATTTCGAACCAGGTTCCCGAATATATACATCCTCATATTCATTTTGAGGCATTGTTGGGTTTATCATTTTGGATCCTGTTTTATTAATTGAAAATGGAGTGTAGAAACAATAACTAAATGCAGACTCGTCAAGAGATATAACAGATTTAGGCAGCTTTAGAATTGGTACTCTTTCTGAATTCAAAATTCTTATAGATTCTTCCATATAAGGATAGTCTTTTATTAAATAGTCATATTCAGAAAGTTGGAGACTAAGTTCATCAAAACTCTTCATACCATCACTAACTTCATATATTTCTTCTTGAAGACCAAAAACACAAACAACTGTCATAGAACTCTTGATATATAGTTCATGTGATGTAACACAGAATATTGGATGATCATCATGAACTATCAGTTTTAGATTTCTGCAGAATGCGAACGAAGATCCATTGACGAACATTATTTTATTTGTTATTTCGAATGTTTCTAACTTACTCGATATGAATGCAAAACCAGGGATTTTTGTCAATTGTTTTCCAACATTTATATTTTTAAGTGATTTACAATACGCAAAACTATATTGATCAATATGAAATAGTTCCTTCGGAAATTCAATACTCGTTAACTTATCACAATGCCAAAATGCATATTCACCAATGACTTGAACATTTGGAATTGATATCTTCTCCAATTTGAAGCATCTATAAAATGCATAATCACTTATTGAGAAAATATCAGGAAGATTTATTTCTTTTAACTATGTGCAATTAGCAAAACTTGCATATCCAATGGAGATTATTTTTGAATTAAAAACTATTTCTTGTAGTCTGAAACAATTTGCAAATGAATAATCAGGTAATTTATAAATTCTATTTGATAAAAATTTGATTGATACTATCTTTGGATTAAAATACTCAAGCCCCATGAAATTTATTATTTTTGCTGGTATGATAACTTTTAAAGGTTTTGTTAAATAAGTAAAAGTAATAGGATTAATAGTTTCTATTTCATCTGGTATTTGAAATTCATGAACATTACTTTCTTTATAAAGAAAGAGTTCTTTGCTTTGAATATTAACAATACCATAATCCTTTTCGACGAATGCATTGTTATTCACAAATGAAATTCTCGGGATTTTGTTCAAACCTTTCAAGACTCTTGTGTCAAAACTCGAACCTTCCCCTGTGAAAATAATCTCTTCTAAATTCATACAGTTCGTGAATGAACTATCGCATATACAATCAATTGATAAAGTTACTAAACTTAAGTTCGTATTATAAAATGCATTAACACCAATTTCATTCACATTTTCCAAATTAATTTTCTTTAACTTTAAAAAATTTCTGAAACAATAAGAAGAAATAGTTATTATTGATGGACATAGAATTATCTCTTCGAATGATTTCTTAGAATTTGAGTGAAAATTTAAAGTTGTTAATTTTGTGATTGTCTGACTAAAATTAAGGATTTTAACATTAAAATTAAGATATTCCATACTGAATACATCATAATCCAACACTTCAAGTGTAGTGTAACTTCCAAATACATAGCTATTCAAATCACTCTTTGAAGTTATTGTAATACGGCCTTCGCTTGGATATGTTTTCACTGTATTAGATAGTATTAGGCTTTTTGAAATATAGGGTGTGAATATTGAGCTCTTTAGCATTGATAATTTTAACACTTTACATTTTACAATAACAATTCAAATAATTTTGGAATGAAAATAGAACAAAGAATTAATTAATTACTAATACATCCAAATATTCGACTGACCAACTAATCAAATATCATTTATTCAAAATATTCAGATTTAAAACCGTAAATGGTTAGAAACAATAATGTGGTTTATAAAAATATTTGTTATACATATGCAAGTAGTTTTTTCAAATCCAAATTGAGAAATTATATTTTGAATCTGATATTGTCATATTTTTTTACAGTACTGTATTCAACCGAAAATATTAGCATCAAATCATCATTGATGAACCTCTTTTTTTTGGTCGTCATACATGACATTTTTTTCAATTTAATTCAAAAAATATACATCGTATTAATTATTACAATTTGCCTATTATATTGACGTATATCTGGTTTTCAACATTTTTCTGAAGTATTCAATTTGGTTTGAAATTTTTCTTCCATTCATATTTAAATCTCTCTATGATTTGTTATACAATAATTTTCATCATAAAGATTTACAACAACCACAGAAAATCAGAATTTATTTCAAGTTGTTTTTTTATTTATCTTTTGAAAGAAATTAATTTCAAATAATATTATCGAAATCAAATTATTATTTCATAGTTTTAATACAATTTTGTGAGGTTTACAAATAATTTCAAATTGATGTTTAAATGCTTATTTACTTCGAATTTAATAAGTAAAGAGATTAAAATCAACTTACAAGCACAGATAAGTAATAATATAATAAGATTTAACTCCAATACTGACTTTTCTGACAAAAAAATCAATGATCAAATTATATCCAATAATATCCATACTATTAGTATTGAAAACGATGTGTCAGAAATAAAATACTTTTTGGGAATAGAATTCATCAAAAATGTCAATATTAATACGGATCACACTGTAACTTTATCAGACTCACTTTTTTATGGATCAAGGAACATAGAATCAGTAACATGTACAAATAATATTGTTGTTGGTCCAAAATGTTTTGAACAATCTACAATAAGAAACATAGATTTCACAAAAATAACTGAAATTGGGGAAGATGCATTTAAAAACTGTTTTAATATAAAGAGTGCTAATCTAAAATCATTGACAAGTATAGGTAATTCTGCATTTGCTTCAAGTGGATTAGAATCTGTGATCATTCCTTCAACAATATCAAAAATTCCTGATCATTGTTTCTATCAATGTCCAAATCTAACAAATGTTGAATTCAAAGGTCCTGTTGATATTGATCAATATGCATTCGCAGATTGTTTTCAATTGTCAAATGTTGTTCCTGGATTTGAACAAATTTCTCATATCAAATATTATGGATTCAGAGGATGTTCAATTCATAAATTGAAATTCAACGATTGTGAACTTGGTGGTGGTGTTTTCCAAAATTCACACGTCGAAAGTATTGATGCAACAAATCTTAAGATTGCATCTAAAGATTTCCGAGGTTGTCGAAATCTTATTTTTGTCAACATCACAGGAACACTCGAAATTATTGACGGACCTCCTCCAGAAGTTCCTTATTACTATGAAAGATCTTCTTTTGGAGGACAAGAGCGTTTCAACTATTATTTTCCTAGAGCATTCGCTTTCGAAGATTGTGTTTCGTTACAAGAATTCAAAGTAAATGCATGTCAACAAATTGGAGATTCATGTTTCAGAAACTGTTTGAAACTAAAAGAAATCAAAATTGTTTCAGAAATTCTTGGATCTCATTCATTCATGAACTGTATTTCGTTGGAAACAGTTGACTTGCGAACAGTTACTCAGATTGGTGATGGATGTTTTGGAGGATATGAAAATCTTAAGAGTATTATTGGATTAGAAACATCAAGAGAATACGGTGGCAATATTTTCAGTGACTGTCCAAATTTAGTTATTTCTGAAGTTGGCAATGTTGGCTGGGAAATGTTTTCAATGTGTCATTCAATCATAAATGTTGTATTCAATGGTAATACATTAGAACCTGGAGCATTTATGAATTGTCAAAGTTTAGAAAGTTTTGAATGCCAGACTGACATAGGATATATTCCACCGAAATGTTTTTATGGATGTTTTAGACTAATTAATGTGAAATTTTCATATCCAATAGATTATTTCGGTAATTTTTCATTTTTTAATACATCACTTAGAAATGGAATCAATTTTGAAACAACATATTACATGGGGGATCTGGCATTTGCATATACACAATTACGAAATGTAACTTTGTATGATATTGCTTATGATTGTGATGCAAAATTTTTTCATTTAGTAAATTTTAAAGTTAGAGAAGACTTATTTAATGATGCACCATTTAGAGGCTGTAAAGAATTGACAAAAGTTATTTTCAATTGCACAAGAATTCCTCCAATGATGGGATTTTTTGATGATTGTGAAAATTTAAGAGAAATAGAAGTTATTTCAGATAATTTCATTAATGATTATGGTATAATTTATAACAAAGACAAGACGATTTTATATTCATTCTTGATAACAAATCCCTTGGAATCTTTCACAGTACCAGAATCCGTTCAAGAATTATATGATTTAGCATTCTACAGGACAAAATATTTGAAGAATTTGACGTGTAATAATATTTTATATATCAAAACTGGTGCTTTCCTAAAATCATCACTAGAAAACAAATATTTACAAATATTATTAATGATTTAAATGGTTTCTCATTTTCATTTTCAACAAATCTCAAATATATTGAAATTAATTGTACAAGATTCACATACTTTGATTTTCTATATTGTGATAATCTTGAACATGTCAAAATACAAACCAAATATATTGGGCGTGGAATATTTATGTTCTGCAAATCATTAAAAGAAATTAATCTAATAGGAATAGTCGAAATCAATAGAAAAGCATTTTCTGACTGTTACTCATTAAAGAGAATTGAAATAAGTTATTTCACTCAAAATATTGATAATTATGCATTTTATAATTGTATAAATCTTGAAGAAGTTGTTTTCGATCAATCAAGTAGGTTAGAACAGATTTCCATAGGTACATTTCAGAATTGTATTCATTTATCTTCAGTAACACTTCCACCTGAATTGGGAAGTATTATGGATTTTGCATTTGCCAATACATCTTTAAAGGAAATTAGAATCTCATTTTTTACGATGGTTATGACTCATGCATTCGATAATTGTCAGAATATTAAAGTTATAAATACTGCTGTTTATGACAGTGAATATATAATCCATCAAAGTGATCAAAAATTATTTTTTACAACATTAGGTAAACTAAATTCAACATATAAAGTTCCTGATGGAGTTATTCAATTAAATGCTTTATCAATTAACTCCAATAATGTTTTTAATGAAACTATTGGCGCATATGAAACTGATTTAGGAATTCGAACTCTAATTGTACCAGAGTCAGTCCACGAGATAACTAATGGCGGCTATACCAATTCATTTTACTTATGTTTTCATTATCTCGACAATATTTGTTATGAAGGTACATATTTGCAAATAGAAATTCCGTATTATTTAGTAATGCAGTATTTTAATTATTACACATATTATACAATAGACAATGTGTTTTTTGATGATGATAATATTCTGGTAGGTTTTGATGGACCATTTCCAAATCCTAAAATTTATGCACCAAACTTGACAGCTACAGATTCAAGCTATGATAATTTTCCTATTTTGAATGAACCATGTCCTGATACTATAAAACCACCTGAAAAAATTATTTATGAATCAGATATTATTCATAAAAAGATTATTATTAAGAAAGGAACTAATCATTCTGATACAGCTTCAAGTTACATTAATTCAAATACACAAAATACTGTTGATCCAATTATATCAATTGAAAATGCAATTGAAGCAAATGCAGATGTAAAGCTTTCCTCAAGAGAAACAATCACAATCTCAATTTGTGCTTCAATTGTTGTCATTGTTATCATATTAGCAATTCTTTATGTTTATATGAAAACGAAGGCTCCAATTCTTTCAGATGATAGTGATATCTTAGAAATGGCTGAAGAAACAATTCATGCAAGCACTTCAGTTACATTCGATAACCCACTATTTATTACAACATCTGCTCTGCCAGACGATCCATTTGCATCAGATTTCCAAAACGATGAATTTATTATTGATTGTTTTAATAAAGATGAGTTAGATGAATAAAATATAAAATTCAATAGTAATAATTAAATTTTCGCATATCTGACATTGAGAATTAAATAGCTGAATTTAATGATATGTCATATGGATATGGGTGCACCCTTAAAAAGTTAGATAAATTTAAGTGAAAAGCATTACTAAATACGATTTTAAATGATCATGTTTTTTAAGAAAAATTATCTGATATATAACTATATGCTTACAACCTTAGCATGCTTTCAGAAATAGGTGATAATCATTGTTTGCGCCAAATGTCAAGTTCATACTAATCAACAGCCAATATATCTATATTTGATGCAAATTCTGTCAATACAAATTCAAAACTAACTTCCAGAGAGACAACAATTATTATAACATGTACCTTAATTATTCTTATAGTTATTATAATGGCAATTGCATATGTTTACATCAAAGCCAAAACACAAGAACCTTCAGATAGCGATGTTTTAGAAATGTCTGAAGATGAGATTCAATCTGCGGCTGAAATTAATATTGAAAACCCACTTTATATGACAACTCAATCTCTTTCAGATGATATTTTTGCACAGTATTTTCAAAATAAAGAAGAAGATAACAAATTTTATAAGGATCAGAAATACATCGAATAAATAATTTAAATTTAATTAATCATCATAATGATATTAATAATTATAATCTTCAAATAAATAATTGCCTAGATATAAATACAAATCAACAACATTTAACACCTCCAGGAGGTACTGATATGATTATTATGCATATTATGAACTTTAATTGAAGTTAGAATTTTCGACAATCAGAAAGATGATCGAAAACTATTTTCAAATATGCAGAAAAAGCTGTTATCGATCATGGGTAATTTTCAATAATCATATTAGATTCTAGAAAACAAAATGTAAGTAAATTATTTAAATGATTAAATTTTATTCGGTCAATATCTTTGTACTATTAATTAGAGTTTCCTTTCCATTTTCATCGATTTCTACAAATTCGCATTCAATATAGTTTTTTCTATCAATAATACTATATCGATTGATTCTATCTCTCTTGAAAATCAATCTGTCATTATTTTTAACTGCTGTCTGAACATTAAGTTCGAATGATGCTGGAGTTATATTTGTTGTAAAAACTTTGTATAATGGATATTTTGATCTAGGTGAACGAAATTCACTGTAACCATAAATAGAACCTGGATTAATCATTTTATAACCTGTTTTATTAATTGAATATGGAAGATAAAAATAATATCTATAAGAAGAATCATCAAGAGAAATCACAGATTGAGGTAATTTAACAATTGGAATTCTTTCAGAATTTAGCACCATTATAACTTCATCAGTTTCAGTTGCATCAAAAAAATCCCTTTCTTTAGTAATATAGTCATATTCAGAAAGTTGGAGACTAAGTTCATCAAAACTCTTCATACCATCACTAACTTCATATATTTCTTCTTGAAGACCAAAAACACAAACAACTGTCATAGAACTCTTGATATATAGTTCATGTGATGTTACACCGAATATTGGATGATCATCAGGAACTATCAGTTTTAGATTCCTGCAGAATGCGAACGAAGATCCATTGACGAACATTATTTTATTTGTTATTTCGAATGTTTCTAACTTACTCGATATGAATGCAAAACCAGGAATTTTTGTCAATTGCTTTCCAACATTGATTGACTTAAGTGATTTACAATACGCGAAACAATATTGATCAATATGATATAGTTCTCTCGGAAATTCAATATTTGTCAACTTATCACAATGCCAAAATGCATATTCACCAATGACTTGAACATTTGGAACTGATATTTTCTCTAGTTTTCGGCATTTATAAAATGCATAATCACTTATTGAGAAAATATCAGGAAGATTTATTTCTTTTAGCTCTGTGCAATTTGCAAAACTTCCATACCCCATTGTAGGGATGCGTTAAACACGCCATTTGACCGGGCGTACATTTTTTTTGTTCGCCCAAAAATTTCGCCATTTGAGAAATTCAAAAATTAAAAATAAAATTTTAAGGGTGCACCCGTATGTACGTTTATTCGAGAGGAGGAGGATAACCCTCTCAATTTTGAGGGATTCGTTAGTTTATTTTCTCGATGAATATGCAATAAAATTTGATTTTTACCTTATCAATATACTTCATATAATATACACATGTTCATGTAAAAACTTTTTTCCAAAATCCTCAGGAATTAAGGGATTTTTGAATTTTAAGAATTTTTTTCGAATTTTTTCGAAAAAAAAATATTTTCAGAACAGCCTTAACGGCTAAGATTTAGGAACAATGTTAAGTATCAAAAAGAAAGGAGGTCTGATATAAACAACATATATCGTTGAAGGTTGAAAAAATCTCTAATATTTGAGCCCAAAATTTCAAATTTTAATTTTTTGAAAAAAGAGGCCACCCGTATGTACGTTTATTTGAGAGGAGGAGGATTATATTTTTGAAAGGGTGAAACATTATGAATATGTTAATTATATAATAATATGTATTATTATAAAAAAGAAAAAATAAAGCACGTTAAAATTTTTCTTTCTTGATTTTTTACAAAATCTACTTAGAATTATGCAAAATATGACTAAATAATTATAAATTTCAAGTTAAATTTTAATTTTGATAAATAATTTAAATTTCAAAATATCAAGTTCAGTTCGACTATGTATGTAGTAATTCCTCAATAAAGTGCCAAAACCCTATTAAAATATATGAACATTTTCAACATTTTAATGTTTTTATTTAAAAATTTGATGGAATATGAGCTTCAAACAATTATTATGTAAATAAAAATAATTAAATATATGTATTTATTCGTATTACAACCGTAGTAAGTCGATTCTTCCTTTCTTCTACTGAGGTTTGAATTTGATTTCGAATTGTAAAGAGATTCAAAGGGAAAATACTAGCGGATAAAAACTACCTCCATGAAAGGGTCATAATGGAGTCAAGTTGTATTTTTTGCTTTTCGAGCCTAAATAGGTAGCCAAGATAATGCCTAAAAATAAGGTTCTAAATTCTGAAGTTTACATGATCCTCTCGTGTGCACCCTTAATCTTGATTTTTTTATGTTCGTGATTTTTTTGAAACTTACATAAGCGATGAAATACTTTTTTAAGTAATCGTTTATTATATATAAATATATCTTAATAAATTTAATTCCTTAAGGTAGAGCGTGTTCAAATTTAAAATCTCATACAATATTTTCTTAATGGCGTATTTTTCTGAGGTCGCCCAAATAAAGGCGGATTCAAAATTGAGAACTCCAAGGCGTATGGCGAGTATTCAAAAAGTACGCCACTTACAAAATATTGAATGTGGATTATCAATTTTTTGGCGTGTTCAATTTCAAATTTTGATATTTATGTTTATTTTATTCAGTATAATGCTAAGAATTAAAATATAAAATTCATAGATTTTTTTCTTTGAAAATATTTTACATTTTTATTAGACCACTCCTAGACTAGTCATCAGGTTATCCTCAGATCATCCTCAGACTACTCCTTATCAGATTACTCATCATCCTCAGACTACTCCTTAGACCCCTCCTCATCAGACTACTCCTCAGATCTTCCTCCTGAGACTACTCTTCAGACTACTCCTTAGAGTCCTCCTCATCAGACTAGTCCTGAGACTAGTCCTCAGACTACTCCTGAAACTACTCCTCAGATTATCCGCAGACTCCTCCTCAGATTATCCTCAAACTACTCCTCAGTCTAATCCTCAGACTCCTCCTCAGATTATGCTCAGATTATCCTCAAACTCCTCAGCTTATCCTCAGGCTACTCCTCAAACTCCTCAGTCTAATCCTCAGACTCCTCCTCAGATTATCCTCAAACTCCTCAGACTACTCCTCAGACTACTCCTCAAACTACTCCTCAAACTACTCCTCGGTCTAATCCTCAGACTCCTCCTCAGATTATCCTCAAACTCCTCAGATTATCCTCAAACTCATCAGACTACTCCTCGGTCTAATCCTCAGACTCCTCCTCAGATTATCCTCAGACTCCTACTCAGATTATCCTCAGACTCCTACTCAGATTATCCTCAAACTCCTCAGATTATCCTCAAACTCCTCAGATTATCCTCAAACTCATCAGACTACCCCTCGGTCTAATCCTCAGACTCCTCCTCAGATTATCCTCAGACTCCTACTCAGATTATCCTCAGACTCCTACTCAGATTATCCTCAGACTCCTCCTCAGATTATCCTCAAACTCCTCAGACTACTCCTCAAACTCCTGAGACTACTCCTCAAACTCCTCAGATTATCCTCAAACTCCTCAGACTACTCCTCAAACTCCTCAGATTATCCTCAAACTCCTCAGACTACTCCTCAAACTCCTCAGATTATCCTCAAACTCCTCAGATTATCATCAAACTCCTCAAACTACTCCTCGGTCTAATCCTCAGACTCCTCCTCAGATTATCACTTTACATATATATATCGATAACTAAATAATTACTTATTATACTTTCTTTATTTTTTTTTAATTTTAAAATAATATTAATATATCTTTCTACGTTTAATGATGAAAAGAGAAAGAGGAGTAAAAAGAGGAAAGAGAAAAGAAAGAGAGAGAGAGAGAAAAAAAAGAGAAAGAAAGAAAAAAAAGGACGGCGATAATTTTGTATTGTTTTGTTATTCGGCCCCAAAAATGGCGTATTATTCTATTTTTAAACGGTCATGGCGTAAAACCGTCGCATCCCTACCCCATTGAAATGATTTTAGAACTGAACTCAACTGTTTGAAGATTCGACCAATTAGAAAATGAATAATCTGGTAACTTGAGAATCCTATTCGATAAAAATTTTATCGATGTTATCTTTGAATTAACATATTCTTGTCCCATAGGCTGAGATGTTTTTGAAGGTATTATTACATTTAATGGTTTTGTTAAATAATTAAATGCATTAGGATTTATGATATCAACTTCATCTGGAATTTGAAACTCATTAAGATCATTTTCAATATAAACATATAATTCTTTGTTTTGAAGATTATAAACACCATAATTCTTTTCTGCAAATGCATTGTTATTCAAGAACGAAATCTTTGGAACTTTAAATAAACCATCCAATACTATTGTATCAAAAGCTGAACCTTCTCCAGAAAATGTTATTTTTTCCAAATTTTTGCAACTTGTGAATGGGCTTTGACATAAAAAATCAATCGATAGTGTTATTATATTAATATTTGTACCTGTAAATGCGCCAAATCCTAATTCATGTACATTTTCTAAGTTTATTCGAGTTAGATTATTAAACCCACTAAAGCATCTTGATGAAATAGTTTTTATTGATGGACATAGCACAATTTCTTCAAGTTTTTAACGGTATCTGGACTCCTTGAATTAATACTTAATTTTGTTAATGTTGAAATTGATGGGTTGAATTTCAATATTTTAACATTGAATTTGAATGAATACATAATAGGAGAATCATAATCCAATACTTCAAGTGTGGTGTATTTTCCATCTACAATGTTATCTAAATCATTAGATGAAGTAATTGTGATGAGTTCTTGGTTTGGATAAGTCTGTATTTCTCTTGTTAGGACTAGCTTTTTCAAAATATAGGTAGTAAATATTGAACACTTGAACATATGAATTTCTGATACAAAAATTTTAAGAAGTAAAAGGAAAATAAATGTAAATTGTATTAGTTAATTACTTATGATAATTACTGTTTGAACTGAAATTCAATTTGTGATTCAAATTTTTGAACAAAAAAGCTAACTTAGAATTGAATCTGTAATTATTCACATAAAAACTGTTTTATTTTATTTAATTGATCGACCAATTTTTTTAAAATATGATCATTCAAAATTGTTTTTGAAACGATACAAAACGATGAGAAAAATTTCGGATTTTTAAAAAAGAATTCCTACCTACTTATATAAATTTTTAACAAAAAAATTAGGCATTTTCATGACGGTAAACGATAAGTTTGGTTGAAAATTGATCAGAAAGCAAAAGAGTTTAAATCTTTCAATTAAATCTATAAATTAATAGTTAGTATTCATACGATTTTAAAAAATAATGACTTTTTTTTCTTTATCTTTTTCAAAAAAGTCTGATCAATTCAATTTAGAAATATATCTTTCTGAATTCATACTTTATTAGATAAACTATTTATATATCATTGGATTTCAAAATTTTTCTCAAAATTGTGGTTCTGCTTCAATTCATTTCAAGCAAATGCTTAAAAATCTATTTTTCTCAAGTTTGATTGAACATATTGTAAAGCTAAACGCACATATGCAGATTAGTAACAATACCATGACATTTGACGCAAACAGTGATTTTACAATCAATAATTTGTTTGAACAAATTAATACGAACAATATTGATACTATTAATATAAAAGGAGATGTAACAGAAATAAACTACTTTTTGGGAGTTGAATTCATCAAAAATGTCAATATTAATACGGATCACACTGTAACTTTATCAGACTCACTTTTTTATGGATCAAGGAACATAGAATCAGTAACATGTACAAATAATATTGTTGTTGGTCCAAAATGTTTTGAACAATCTACAATAAGAAACATAGATTTCACAAAAATAACTGAAATTGGGGAAGATGCATTTAGAAACTGCTACAATATAAAGAATACCGATTTGAAAGTTTTGACAGATATAGGTCCTTCTGCATTTGCTTCAAGTGGATTGGAATCTGTGATGATTCCTTCGACAATATCAAAAATTCCTGATCATTGTTTCTATCAATGTCCAAATCTAACAAATGTCGAATTCAAAGGCCCTGTTGATATCGATCAATATGCATTTGCAGATTGATTTCAGTTGTCAAATGTTGTTCCTGGATTTGAACAAATTTCTCATATCAAACATTATGGATTCAGAGGATGTTCAATTCATAAATTGAAATTCAACGATTGTGAACTTGGTGGTGGTGTTTTCCAAAATTCACACGTCGAAAGTGTTGATGCAACAAATCTTAAGATTGCTGCGAAAGATTTCCGAGGTTGTCGAAATCTTATTTATGTCAACATCACAGGAACACTCGAAATTATTGACGGACCTCCTCCAGAAGTTCCTTATTACTATGAAAAATATTGTAGCTATGATTGTCACAGTTATGATTTTCCAAAATCATTCACTTTCGAAGATTGTGTTTCGTTACAAGAATTCAAAGTAAATACATGCCAACAAATTGGAGATTCATGTTTCAGAAACTGTTTGAAACTAAAAGAAATCAAAATTGTTTCAGAAATTCTTGGATCTCATTCATTCATGAACTGTATTTCGTTGGAAACAGTTGACTTGCGAACAGTTACTCAGATTGGTGATGGATGTTTTGGAGGATGTGAAAATCTTAAGAGTATTATTGGATTAGAAACATCAAGAGAATATGGTTCTAATGTTTTCAGTGACTGTCCAAATTTAGTTATTTCGGAAGTTGGAGGTGCTGGCAGGGAAATGTTTTCAATGTGTCATTCAATCATAAATGTTGTATTCAATGGTAATACATTAGGATCTGGAGCATTTATGCACTGTTTGAACTTAGAAAGTTTTGAATGTCAAGGTAATATTCAATCTATCCCAGAAAAGTGTTTTTATGGTTGTATCAAACTTATTAATGTTGTATTGCCTCAATCTGTTACAAAAATTGGAAATTATGCATTTTTCAATACTTCGCTTAGAAATGGTTTCACATTTGATAATATTCGAAAAGTCGGCGATCTATCATTTGCATACTGTCACTTACAAATTGTTACAATATTCGATATTCGGTACGAATATGAACAAAAATATCAATATATAATGCAACTCAAAGATCGAGAAGATATTGTATATGTAGCTCCATTCAAATGTTGTAATGATTTGACAAAGGTTGTGTTCAAAGTTACATCTCAACCGCCTATGACAGGATTTTTTGATCAATGCGATAATTTAGTTGAGATAGAGGTTATCTCTGATAATTTCATATTCGAAAATGGTGTAATATATGATAATACAAAGTCTGCAATAGTATCATTTTCAAATGTTTTACATCTAGAATCTTTTATAATTCCTGAGACTATTACCAGAATATATGATTTAGCATTTTATGGCACAAAATATCTGAAAAATTTAAAATGTAATCATTGTGTTATTATAGGTGCTGCTGCATTTTTGAAATCATCTCTAGAAAATATCATATTTACTGATCCTTTAAATAATTATATAATGTCCGTATTAACATTTTCATATTCACTATCTCTCAAATATGTTGAAATCAAATGTCAACAATTTCAAATTTTTGATTTCTTATATTGTATAAATCTTGAATATTTCAAGGCTCCAATTACTCAATTAAGTCCTGGACTATTCATGTACTGCAAATCATTAAAGGAGATTGATCTAAAAGAAATTTCCTTAATTGGTCCGAAAACATTTTTGGACTGCCATTCATTAAAAAGAATCGAATTTGGTCAAAAGATTGAACAAATCAGTCAATATGCATTTAAAAATTGTATCAATCTTGAAACTGTAATTTTTGACCAATTATCACGACTTACCATAATTAACTTTGGCACATTTCAGAATTGTATTCATTTAACATCGATTATACTTCCACTCGGTTTGCGGAGTATTTATGACCTCGCATTTTCAAATACAGCTTTGAAAGAAATTAGAATTCCTACATTGACTGAAGTAACAAGTCATGCATTTGATGATACCCCTGATATTAAAGTCATAAATACTGTTGTTTATGATCATGAATTCATAATGTATAAAAATAATGAAAAAAGTTTTGTAACCACAATTGGTAAGCAAAATACAACATACAAATATCATGATGGTTTTACTCAATTTGATCCGCTTTTAATAAATTCAAATCATGTTTTTAATGAAACAATTGGAGCTTATGAAAACGATTTGGGTATTAGAACACTAATTATACCTGAATCTATTCATGAGATGAATGTGAATATTGAAGGTTATAAATATAACTTAGGATTACATTTTATTGAAAATATTTGCTATGATGGGATAGATTTGGAATTGTATATTCCATATAATTATGTATTTGAATATTTTGATGTGTGGGCATATGATCCAATGGATTGGGAATTACAAGGCATTGGTCCAATTACAGATCTTGATGGACCTTTTCCATATCCTAAAATTTATGCCCCTAACATGAAAGTAGAGGCGTGCTGAACCGTTGGGTGGAAATTGAATACCAACACTTCAGCATGGACCCTTCTGATGGAGATAGACCCAACATGTATATGGATGAATATTAGGACATTAGGTATAGATGAACATATATAGGAATGAGGACCACCTTGGGTCAGCATCAGATATCGAATTTTAGAACCATCTAATTTTCATTCAATATTCTATAGGTGCAATGTATGTTTCCTATATATAAAGGTTTGATAATAGTTAGGTCTCAATATAGATCTTTGGTCCCAATTTATATTATGAATATCATCAATTTGTGTGTTTTTAACATTATATATTAGTATTGTGTTGATATAATGCTATATTATGTAGTGGTAGGTGTGTCTTGATATAAATTATGTTATTGATCGGGATATGAGTACAAATGCAAGTTATCCCGGGGTGAGGTCAGGGCTATCGCGTCCTAATTCATAGGGAAGGGTTATCATGCCTAGTATGTGTGTGCTGTGCTATCCGTTTGTCCATTGGATGGCACAGCACACACAATCACAAGACAAAACCTCGAAGCGAGGAATAGTTCTTGTAAGGATGTGGTAACTATATACCTATCCTTACAAGAACTTGTATAGTGGAGCAATGTTTCGAATTGCTCCACTTTTCCTCGCATCGAGGTTATCCCGAGGTGAAGTCATAGCAATAGGGCTCATATTGATGGTGCACCATTGCTATGACTTGCACCTTCGTATGGTACTATCCATTATGAATTTTGAAATAATTTTGCAATTGAAATAATCTTAAATTTAACAAAAAAGGCCGAGAAGGGGGTCCTTTCTCAAGGTCAGGGCCCCCTTCTAGTCTTTCTGGTGTCGGAAGGAGTGGCTTTTGCCAGTATTGCCGCTCCTTCCGGCATCATCTTTGCATTTCGCAATTGTCGCGGCAAGTGCATTCTGGCACCACAGGTGCACTTGCCGCGACATATGATTGCGAGTGTCTGCTGCTCAGCCCGGATTCGCAGCAGACACTCGCAATGCGAACCAAAGTTCGCCAGAAAGACCGGGAAGGGGGTCCTGACCTTGAGAAAGGACCCCCTTCTCGGCCTTTTTTGTTAAATTTAAGATTATTTCAATTGCAAAATTTATCTGACCAAAAACTCAGATTTGCCTGAGAGTTACTGAGGATAATCTCATATGTACCCTCTATCTTCCTGCTTAACCCTAGGCTCTAAGTCTTTCATTTTTATATGTATGCTGAACCTCGGGTATTCAATTTTTCCCAACGGTTCAGCACGATACCATGAAAGTATCAAATTCAAATCCTTTAACACTGCCTGTTATAAACGAACCATGTCCTGATTCTGCATCCCCTCCTGAAAAAGTGTTTTATGAATCAAATATCATTCATAGAAAAATAACAGTTAAAAAGAATAAAACTGATCAAATTGATCCTTCGTCGAATGTAATCAGTTCGAATTCTCATAGTATTATTGAATCAATATCCACTGCATCAACATTTCAAGCAGACTCTACGAATCTCAATACTAATTTATCATCAAGAGAGAAGATAATAATTGCTGTTTGTGTATCAATTGCTGTTATCATTGTGATTCTAGCGATAATTTACGTTTATTTTAAAACTAAATTTTCATTACAATCTTCAGACGATAGTGCTGTTTTCGAAATGGATGAAAAAACCAGAGAAACAGGCACTGCAGTTACATATGATAACTCATTCTTTTCAGCCCGTGGATCATTACAGGATGATCCATTTGCATCAGATTTCGAAAATGCCGATGATGATCAAAATCAATATTTTAATGAAAACGATTCCGATGAATGAATCATAAACTAATATCGGCATTAATACAACATTTTTTCCTTAATAAATTCCTTTTTGATATTAATAACTATATAAAAAACACTATTGAAATTATATAATTGTCGCATTTTATTAAATTAATGAAATTTTTGCAGATTGCATTAAAATGTTAATTAAAAAATGTTGATTATTTATTCAGCTAATACTTTAGTTGTATTGATTAGAACTTCGTTTCCATTTTCATCAATTTCGACATATTTATATTCAATATAGTTTTTTCGATCAATAACACTATATCTATTGATCCTATCTCTATTAAAGATTAGTTTGTCTGTATTTTTGTCTGTTGTTGGAACGCTGTGTTCCCACGAAGCAGGTGTCATTTCCGTTGTAAAAACTTTATACAATGAATTTTGAGACAAGAGGCGGTTTCGCGGGAAATTTTGGCGGGATTTTTTTCATTTTTTTAATGAATCATAAAGAAAACATCCTCGCTCTTGCAAAAAAATGCAAAGACTGTAAAAAAATCTACGAGACATTGGTAAAATGCTTCGGTATGGATGCTCCTAGCTATTCCACTGTAACGTATCATGTTACGATGTATCACTTCATGAACAAAAAGGCGCCCATCATAAAAATTGACAAAAAATCGCCGGATCAAAGAAAAATCAAAGCAATTCTTCAAGCGCTAGATGAAGACCCAAGAGCATCACTCAGAAGGATAGAGGAGATGACAAAGATACCACGTACAACAGTCAGTTATTGTCTGCACAATTATTTGAACTACAAACTAGCGTATACACGTTGGGTTCCGCGCAACCTTAATTCAGTTCAAAAAAAATCTAGAGTCCAATCTTCGAAAGAGCTCCTCTCTATATTGGGTGCGTATCAATCCAAGAAGTTTCGCTTTTTAGTAACAGGGGACGAGTCTTGGTTTCAATATGCAACAGAAGCCAAAATCATGTGGATCCCGAAGGATGAAAATCCGCAAACATTCCCGAAGAAAAAAATTGACACACCAATGATGATGTTGTCGGTTTTTTGGGGCGTGAATGGCATCATCGCAATTGATATTCTTCAAAAACCTAATACGATGAATGCTCAGTATCTAATTGAAAATGTTCTTACTCAAATTATCAATTCTGATGAGTTTGAGAAATCCAAACAACAAAAACAAAAGTTTGCAATTCATTTTGATAATTCAAGAGTTCACAAAAGTCATAAGGTAATGAATTACTTGGTGGAAAACAATGTCAAAGTTGTTCCAAACCCAATTTATTCACCTGATATTGCACCCTCTGACTTTTATTTATTCGGCACGCTAAAAAAGAGAGCTGAAGGACGCGAATTCGCGAGTCCAGATGATCTTGAAAATTTTGTAAGAGAGCAATTTGAGCAATTTTCTCATGATGATTTAAAACGTGTCTTTCAAGCCTGGATCGATCGCTGCGAACGCGTGATTGAATCCAATGGTGATTATATTTAAATAAACTTTATATATATGTAACTTGTTTATTTCTATTCGCAGTATTCAGGTTTGTGCTAAACACACCTTTGGACACCCTATATTATCCCGATATTGCTCGGGGCGCTTTGTTGGATTTATCATTTTATAACTTGTTTTATTAATTGAAAAAGGTGTATAGAAGCAGTAACTCATTGCTGATTCATCAAGTGAAATAACAGATTGTGCTAATTTAATTATTGGAATTCTATCGGAATTAAGAACCATTATGATATCATCATTATTATCTGAGTTATAATAATATCCAGACCTTATCAAAAAGTCATATTCAGAAAGTTGGAGACTAAGTTCATCAAAACTCTTCATTCCATCACTAACTTCATATATTTCTTCTTGAAGACCAAAAACACAAACAACTGTCATAGAACTCTTGATATATAGTTCGTGTGATGTTACACCGAATATTGGATGATCATCAGGAACTATCAGTTTTAGATTCCTGCAGAATGCGAACGAAGATCCATTGACGAACATTATTTTATTTGTTATTTCGAATGTTTCTAACTTACTCGATATGAATGCAAAACCAGGAATTTTTGTCAATTGCCTTCCAACATTTATATTTTTGAGTGACTTACAATAAGCAAAACAATATTGATCAATATGATATAGTTCTCTCGGAAATTCAATATTTGTCAACTTATCACAATGCCAAAATGCATATTCACCAATGACTTGAACATTTGGAACTGATATTTTCTCTAGTTTTCGGCATTTATAAAATGCATAATCACTTATTGAGAAAATATCAGGAAGATTTATTTCTTTTAGCTCTGTGCAATTTGCAAAACTTCCATACCCCATTGAAATGATTTTAGAACTGAACTCAACTGTTTGAAGATTCGACCAATTTGTAAATGAGTAATCAGGTAACTTGAGAATATCTTGAGATAAAAATTTTATCGATGATATTTTTGATTTAACATATTCGTGTCCCATAAGCTTAGATATTTTTGAATGTACTGTTACTTTTAATGGTTTTGTTAAATAATTGAATGCATTAGGATTTATAATTTCAACTTCATCTGGAATTTGAAACTCACTAAGATCATTTTCAACATAAACATATAATTCTTTGTTTTGAAGATTATAAAAACCATAATTCTTTTCTGCAAATGCATTGTTATTCAAGAACGAAATCTTTGGAACTTTAAATAAACCATCCAATACTCTTAAATCGAAAGTTGAACCTTCTCCAGAAAATGTAATTTTTTCCAAATTTTTACAGTTTACGAATGGACTTTCACAAGCAATATCAATAGGTAAAGTTATTGTATTAATATTTGTACCTGTAAATGTCCCATGTCCTAATTGGTGTACGTTTTCTAAATTAATTTTTGTTAGATTATTAAAACCAACGAAACAGCTTTCAGAGATAGTTTTGATTGATGGACATAAAATAATTTCTTCCAAGTTTTTTATTGTTTTTGAATTCCAATAATTTAAACTTAAGGTTGTCAATATTGTGATAGATGGACTGAATTTCAATATTTTAACATTGAAATTGCATGAATTCATAACTGATGAATCATAATTCAGCACTTCAAGAGTGGTATAACTTCCATATACATAAGAATTCATATCATTCTGGGAAGTAATTGTAATTCGACCTTCATTCGGATATGTCTGTATGGTTTGGGATAGTATTGGTGTCTTAGAAATATAAGTAGCAAATAAGGAACTCTTTAGCATTTGAAATTTTTGACTGAATTTTTCAATTATATTTGAAAATAAGTTTAAGAAAGATCGTTGAATAAAGTTCGAAATGTAATCTTTAGTTCATTACTTTTATTTGAAGATGCAAATGTAAAATTCGATTCAAAGTAAAATGTAATGAAAAATGATCAATATGTATATATAAATGATATACTTAAATGTAGGGCTGTACAAAATCGAGAAAAACATTGCCATGAGGTAATATATGGTCAAAAAAATCGCGCCTCGGCTGCTCCGCCGCCTCGGCACTATTAAGTGCGCATTATATTTAATATGTCCTTCTTTTTTCTTCTTCTTCTTCTTCTTTTCCTTTCCTTCTTCCTCTCCTTCCTCTTCTTTCCTTCTCCTTCTCTTTTTACAACAACGTCGAAGATCTTCGAATTTGATTGTTGGAAAAGCATCTATTTCAGATAAAGGATGCCTTTCTCACAGTCAACATACGAGGGTCCTGGCTGAAACGTTCTCAAAAAGCCTGAGATGGTAATTCTCTGATCACTCATAGCTGGGCAGGTAGTCATTGCTGACAATACCTGTCTTTATGCATGCACGCTTTCATGTATATGGGTTTACACTATCAATTCGCAAAGTTGTTCCGAATTCTTCCAAAATGGAAGGACCCGAAACAACTTTGCTTGTTAACGATACAGACGCATTACTTTGCATTGATACTGTGCTGAGTTGTGTAGAAAGTTTGATTAGAGTTGTTTTGTTCTGGTATCTCTCATCTTCTGATGAGAGAAATCAAAGCAACACAACTCTAATGAGTTTGTTTTCACTCATTTGTATGTAGGTTTTTAGTTCGATTGGAGCTGCTTCATAATGAGATCTCTCATCAATTGATGAGGGAGATCATAACAAAGCAGCTCTAATGTATATGCTCGTATTAACCGGGTTGTAATGCGTTGTAACGTCAGCTTGTAGTTCGTTTGGGGCCACTTCACATTGAGATGAGAAGAAATGATTAAAGGACTCTGAAAGGCTTTGGCCGTTGATGTTGTAATCGCATTACTTGGAACTAGCTGGATGCTAAGCTGTGTAGAATGTTCGATTAGAGCTGTTTTGATATGATTTTTCTCATCATAAGATTGGAGGAATCATAGCAAAACAACTCTAATGGGTTTACCATCATCTACTTGTATGTAGATGTTTGGGAAATTGTCTTGTTAATCGATTTTCGAGATGACTTTCAAATGCTATAATCAAATGACAAACAAGTCTAAGATTTCTCGACAATACATCAAATCATGATGTTTGTAAGTGCGATGAGATTAGAGTTTTTGAAGGAATGACAAGAGAAGTAGGGAAGCTCGGCATTCGCCGAGCAAATTAAAAATTAACGTATGGATTAAATTTTAAGAGGAATTCAATTTTAATTACGGGTTGTTCAAATATTGATTAATATAAATTTATTAATAAGAATAAACAATTTTTGTTTTTGAATTTATTCAATTTATAGCTTTACATATAGTTTCAAAATTGTACAACTATGATTATTTCAACAAAAAATATCTTACTTTTTCACTTCACTTTCACCCTCACTTTTTCCGTAATTCAAATTTCAACATTATGTATTTTAATTCCTTATAGTATTTTTAACATAATTAATCAAATAATAATTGGAAGTTCTGAACTCACTTTTTCCGTAATTCAAAATCAAAAATATGAATAATATATCTATTTATTATATACTAATGCTATTTTCAACTAGAAGTGAGGTACGGTAATCTTACGGATTCCCGTAACTCAATTTTACGGGAAAAGTGCAGTAAACTACTCAATTTACGGTAAAAGTATCGTAAACTATTGATGTGGCGGTAAAATCACGGTAATTCACGGAAAGCTATATGCGAAAATTTGAAATTATACAAAATCGAGCGAAACACTTTTAAATAGGTTGTTCTCGTATTTAAAATACTATTCCCAGATTTATTGTCGTCAGAATATTTCCAAATTTTTGCCGATTTACAAAAAAAGATTTACAAAGCATATTTTTTAATCTAAAAAATTCCTAAAAAAGGAACCGGTGTGCGGAAACCTCGGTAAATTACCGCGGTTCCCGTTGGGACTGCCATAATTCAAACTGTGAGGTAGGAAAAAGAAAAATCTTTGAATATTTTTAAATTACATAATCAAACAAACAAAGAATGTTAGAAAATAATAAATCTGATTGACTTTTCTATGGGTTATAATAATGCTTCTTATATAGCTGATAAATCAATTTAAATGGTTATGCTTATCTATTTTGACTTGTTGTTCAACCAGAAAATTAAGAAATTGTGAGCATTTCAAGAATTTGAATTTTTTGAAAATTAACGATTATTCATCGTTAATGATATCCTTATTTTATAATAGATGACAATAATGAACCAGAAAATAATTGAATTCGGATTCAAAGCAAAAAAAATCAATTCAATCATAATTCCTCTCAAAATAATGAACTAAAAGATTTTTATATTCCATTCACTCATTTGATTTATATTATGTATTTCCTTTTGCCATAATATATGATACTTAGCATAACTTTTTTTTTCAAAATATTTTACTATCAGCTCATTGGATTAACGATATGAAACATAACATATGAAATGAGTTTATTCTAATTTTCAGAACTTGTGCAACAAAATAATAGGTATGCTTTTTAAATCTTTTATTATTGATTTAAAACAATCATTATCTTAAACCCGAAAAGGGGGAGAAAAAAAAAGTTTTCTTGTACTTTTTGAATTTCAATTTTGAATTGTAATTCAAATGTTGGGCAAGAAAACTGATTTTTATTGCATTCAAAAATCCCTTTTTCAACTAAAAATTGAAAAATGATTTTTGAATGCAATGAAATCTTTATAATTTTTAGTAACAAAAAAAATTACTTGATTTCTATCTAATAAAATTTGTATTGCTTTCAATTCAAAAAGTTTTCAAAATCCGTTTTCAAATGCTTATCAAGAATCTCTTGTTGAGTGGATTACTTATAAACAAGATCAAAATAAGTCAAGCAGTAGATTTATCAAATGGTGTTATCACCATCAATATAGATGATGATTTTGATGACAGTAGTATTCAAGATCAAATTTTTACAAACAATGTTGGAAAAGTTAACGTTGGAAGTAGTGTTACGAAATTAAGATACTTCTCTGGTATTGAAATGATAAAAACGTTTAATATTCAGTCACAAAACGTAAATAAGATACCAGATCACTACTTTTATGGATCAAGGAATATCGAAACAGTTACATTTGTCAATAATATTGTGATTGGCGTTTCATGTTTTGAACAATCAACTATTAAAAATATCGATTTTTCAAAAGTTACAGAAATACAGTCAAATGCATTCAGATATTGTTACAATATCAAATCAATTAACTTATTACAATCGATCACTCTTAATATTTATTCATTTGCATATAGTGATTTAGAATCTGTTATTTTACCGGATTCAATTTCACTAGAACCGTTTTGTTTTTATTCATGTACAAACTTAACATCAATTGAGTTTAAAGGTAGTTGTACTATTGGTCATTATGCATTTGCTGATTGTTTCAAATTGTCAAATGTTACTCCAAGTCTTGAATCAATTGAATCATTCGGATCATTTTCATTCCGAGGATGTTCAATAAAGAATGTTAGACTTGGTCAATGTGAATTAAATATCGGAGTTTTCCAAAATTCGAAGATTGAAACAGTTGATGCTATTGACATCAAATTCACATCTAAAGAATTTAGAGGATGTCGAAAGCTTCGATACGTAAATATATCAGGAAAATTCATTACTAGTACTGATAATAGATATGATCGTCCTCCTGAATATTTTGAATATTATGCACTAAATGAAATGGATGATATATTACGCAGTTATCATACTATTTATCAAGCTTTTGGAAACTATGAATTCCAACATGCTTTATTATTTGAAGATTGCATTTCATTGGAAGTTTTCAAAGCAAATAACATGCCGGAAGTGATAGATTCATGTTTCAGAAATTGTTTGAAGCTCAAAGAGATTTCAATAAATGCGCATATTCTCAGTCCATGGGCATTCATGAATTGTGTTTCTTTGGAATCAATCAATATAGCAAGCGTTGATTCAATTGGAGATGGATGTTTTGGATGATGTGAAAACTTGAGAACTGTGATTGGATTGGAGACAGAAAAAGATTATGGATCAAACGTTTTCTCAGATTGTCCTAAATTAGTTGTTAATGAACTATTTTATGTTGGAGTTGAAATGTTCTCAATGTGCAATTCTATTACAAGTGTTATATTTAAAGGATCTCGGTTAGAAAGAGGATTATTTATGCATTGTCTCAACTTAGTCAGCTTTGAATGTCAAGGTCAAGTCAATGAAATTCCAGATATATGTTTCTATGGATGCATAAATCTTGTTGATGTCGTTCTGCCTCCCTCTGTAGAAACTATTGGAAATTTAGCATTTTGTAATACATCTCTCAAGAACGGATTTTCATTTCAATATATTCGAAGGATTGGAGATCTCTCTTTTGCATATTCACATCTAAAAACAGTAGCATTGAATAACACCGAATACGAATATCATAGAAAAGAAGAACAGTTTATGTCTGATTCAGACAGAAAAGATATTATTTATGTTGCTCCATTCAGGAGATGCAATGAAATCACAAAAGTTGCATTTTTAGGAGAATATCCTCCAATGATGGCATTTTTTGATGAATGTGATAATATCAGAGAAATTGAAGTTCCAACAGATAATTTCATTGTTGATAATGGAATTATATATGACAAAGATAAATCAACTATAATATCTTGTTCTCTATTATGTCCTTATGAATCATTCACTGTACCTGATACTGTTCAAAATATTTATGATTTAGCCTTATATGGAACGAAGAAATTAAAGAATCTTACTTCAAATCATGCACTTGAAATAGGTATTGCTGCATTCATGAAATCTTCTCTTGAGAACATTGTTTTAGATGATCAAATAGAAGGAAAATATTATGAATCACAATATGCTATATTTGGATATTCGAAGAACCTTAAGAATGTTGTTTATAAATGTGAACAAGCATCCTATTTTGATTTTATTTATTGCGAAAGTCTTGAAAGTATACAAAGTCAATTCGAAAGAATCGCGCTTGGAGCATTTTACGGTTGCAAATCATTAAAAGAAATAGATCTTAAAAACTCTAGACATCTCCAACATATTTGTTTCCGAGATTGTTATTCACTCAAAAGAGTTGAATTTGGAATACAGATCGAAGAAATTTACCCATGTGCATTTAAAAACTGTATTAATCTCGAAGAAGTAGTATTCGATCAAAGATGCGAATTGAGGAATATAAATTATGAAACATTCATGAACTGTATTCGTTTAACATCTGTTACATTGCCACCCAATTTACAGGTAATTTCTGTTCGAGCATTTGCAAATACTTCCCTCAATGAAGTAAGAATTCTACCTAGCATGCATATTGAGAACCATGCATTTGATTTTTGTCCAAATATTAAGATTGTTACAACAGCAGTTTATGAACATGAATATATTGATTATAATCGAGGTGATAGTCTTGTTACTACATTAGGAAAACAGAATTCTACATACATTGTTCCAGAAGGCCTTGTGTATTTTGATCCTCTTGTTTTAGATTCAAACATTGTATTTAATGAAACAGTTGGAGCATATGAGAAAGATTTAGGAATTAGAACAATCATAATTCCAAACTCAACACAACAGATTTATGTTCGACCAGGGCCAACAGCTATTCTAAACTCCCTTTTTATTGAGAATTATTGTTATGATGGCCAACAAATTCAGATCGAACACATGTATGAGTATGTTTGGATGGCATATACTTACTCTGGTCAGTATTTTTATCCTTATGATCTTGAAATTACGGGCATGAATTTCATGGTAGATATTGATTGTCCTATTCCAGTGCCAACATTGTATGCGCCTAATCTTGCTCCTGGAGAAGAGGATAATATTAATATTCCTGTTGTTAGAGCTCCATGTCCAAATACAACGGAACAACATGAGAAAATATATTTAGGATCTGTAAATCATAAAAAGGTTTATATCAAAAATGGTCAGGTAGTTAATCTAAATTCAAATCCTGAACAGACAAACCAGAATTCGTCTTCAGAAGAACATTCTGGTTCTCAGAGTTCGGTTGATACAAATAATCCAATAATATCAATATTTGATCAAAATTCTGCAAACACAAATACAAAATTAACAACAAGAGAGACAATTATCATCGCTGTTTGTGCATCTGTTGTTGTTCTTGTTATTATATTTTCTATTGCATATGTTTACATGAAAACGAAAGCAACAGAACCTTCAGATGACAGCGATGTATTAGAAATGGCAGAAGAAACGATTCAAGCTTCAACTGGTGTTACATTTGATAATCCATTATACATGACGACTGCAGCAGTATCAGATGATCCTTTTGCAAAAGATTTCCAAAATGAAGATTATAGTAACAAATTTTATATAAATCAACGCGATGATGAATAAACAATTTTATTTAATGAAATTTTTAAGTACATTTTCCTCATAAAACTCCATATTTTGTATAGATTATAATGCAAATCCCACTCATCTTAAGTTTTATTGCGCGAATATCAATCAGGACTGTTCCTGGTCCTTTGTTAAAAGCGTTTTCGAGCAAATCCTGATTTTGTCTAGACTATAATAAAGGGCATTTTATTCTTAAAGTTTATTCTATATATATTTAGGAATTATTATTTATTACCATTCTTATACGACAAACTTACTAAAATATATAAATTCGGTCAATAGAAGTCCATGTGTAATTTTCTTTCTGCATTTGATTAAAAATTTCAGTTCTTTTTGATTGATTTTCATGAATTTTTCATATATAAAAGGTGACAATACTGTCAAATTAAAAAATAAATGAAAGAAAATCAATGTAAGAAATTAATATTTCATGGTTCAATTGCCGTTCTGTATATTATTTTTGTAATGTTAATTACAATCAATCTGTCATTTTCACAAAGAACGCAAATAATTGGAATAATTCCACATCCTTATTCAATTAGCTATTTTCCAGCAAATGATCATTTCGTTTTATCTCCATCAACAACAATATGCTATAATTCTATTAAGCCGCAACTCCAATTTCAAGCACAACTTCTTTCAGATTATATAAACCAGCAAACATTAATGCCCGTCAAATATTCAGGTGTTATATCCGATAAATGCTCGATAATACTTGATATTGGCTATCCTGATGCGAATGAAGAAGCATATAAACCGACAATTACCTCAGATTCAATCTCTATCAACGGTAGCACAGAAAAAGGTTCATTTTATGGAATTCAATCACTTAGAAAAATGATACCCGTCCAAAAAACTCCCAAAAAGATCAAAATTTTAACCCAAGAAATAATAGATCGACCTAGATTTTCTTACAGAGGCTTACTCTTAGACGTAGCTCGTTATTTCCGTACTGTTGAAGAAGTGAAGAAGTTCATGGATATAATGGCCCTTCATAACATGAACTTTTTACACTTCCATTTAACAGATGACCAAGGCTGGCGAATAGAGATACCGAAATACCCTGATCTTACTCGTATTGGATCTCGTAGAAGACAAACAAAAGGAGATGGCATACCAATTTCAGGTTTCTTCACAAGAAAAGATATTTTAGATTTAATTGAATACGGACAATCCCGTCAGATCACGATTATTCCCGAAATAGATCTTCCTGGTCATGCCCAATCCGCCTTAACCGCTTATCCAAAGCTTGGATGCACAGGCGGTCCTTACGAAGTTTCCGAAAGATTTGAAGTTCATTCTGACATGCTTTGTTATGGAAATCCTGAATCAATGGTTTTCATAAAAGACGTTCTTTCTTATGTCATGGATCTCTTCCCATCGAAATACGTCCACATCGGTGGTGATGAAGCTGAAAAAAGTCAATGGAAAGCATGTCAAAAATGCCAAGCAAAAATTCGTGAACTTGGATTTGTTGACGACCAAATCTCCACGAAAGAGGATAAATTGCAGAGGCATTTAACAATAGAGCTCAGTAAAATCATCAGTTCGAAAGGAAAAGAGATGATTGGTTGGTCCGAAATTGCTCATGGAGAAAAAGTTGAAAATTCAATAGTTATGAGTTGGCTTCGAAATAAGAATAATGAAATGCCCGAGAAAGATAATTATACTGTCATTCTCACGCCAACAAATCCGATGTATCTCGATTACCTGCAAGAAAAAAGATCCAACTTGAATACACTTGATAAAGTTTATAATTACGAGCCAATAACTGAAAATCACAATGATAATGATGTGAGTAGATTTATGGGAATCGAGGCTTGTATGTGGACTGAATATACTCCAACATTTGAAAGTGTTATGACAAAAGTACTTCCTCGTGCTGCAGCTGTTTCTGTTGCTCAGTGGTCTTTCCCAAATCTCAAGAACTATCAGAGTTTTCTAGGTGATTTGGAGAATTTGAAAAAGATTTATGAACTTAATAATTATGTATATTATGCGGATTATTAATATTAATAATGTTTTTTTCTTGTTTTGTTTTTTTAAAAAAATCTATTCTCATTTGATAAAAAGAATTTATATATATGGTATGAATGCATTATAATTAGAGCGTAAATAGTAGAGAAGGAATCTTTTACACATATATAATAATAAAAACTATCAAAAATAAGATTGATTAAATTCAATTTCAAGGTTTAAGTCTTTAAATTTACACCATTCCAGAAAAATACGAGAAGTCACAGAAAAATCGAATTATAGTCTGAGTTTATGAATAAGAGTTTATCAAAATTGAATTATCATTGTCATTTTTTGATTTTACTGTGTAAAAATATGTGCAAAATCCTCGGACTATAGGATTAGCCTTGAGTATTAAGGAAAAAGATATACTTTTCATGGTGCTTCACGCCAATAACTGAAAATCGATCATTTGAATTTTGAGAACTATTTGGCCGGCCAAGATTTATAATGAAACACACAACACCCATTAAAGCATGCATTTTTGATAATGATGGCACTCTCCTTGATACAGAATGGGCATATGAATGGTCTCATGAACAATTAACAGGTCATAAAATGGATATGGCTCTAAAAGCAAAATTAATGGGAAAAAGTTCAAAGGAAACATGCGAATTAGTTGTTAAAATGTACAATCTCAATGAAACACCAGAAGAATTTGGCGTTAGAAGAACTGCTCTCCTCGATACATGCTGGAATAACATTAAATTACTCCCAGGAGCAGAAGCATTATGCAGAAAGCTTCATGAAATGAATATCCATATGGGTGTTGCTACCGCATCCAGAAATCATGTTTTTGCACGCAAAATTTCCGGAAATGAAGAGTTTTATAAACTTTTTGATCCAATTATCTGCGGCAATGATGTGAAAATTGGCAAGCCGGCACCAGATATTTTCCTTGCCGCTATGAATAAATGGCCTGGAATCAAACCAGAAGAATGCCTCGTTTTTGAAGATTCTCCACTCGGAATCAAAGCAGCAAATCGCGCTGGGATGCCATCTGTATTCATACCAGATCACAGATTAAATGTACAAGAGATCTTAGCTGCAGGAGATGCAGTTCCTACAATAATTATCCCATCTTTGGAGAATTTTGATTTCAGCTTGTTTAATTGGGCCAAATAAATATTATCTATCTGTCAATTTTTAAGTATTTTCTCTAAATATAAATTATTCTAGAAAAATTCGATTTTTAGACTTAAAGAACAATATTATTAGGAATGAAAACTTCACTGAAATCTAATTTCAGCATAATGAAAGTTTGAAACGTCAATATATATGATCCATGAAATGTTGGAAAGATCATTTTTCTCTGAAAAGAATCCGTTCCTTTAATTTGATAATTGTTATCCCCAATGGAGTAGGAATCGCTCTGACTTTATTTAGATTAATTTTCATTCAATATGAAATTTAAACATTCAGCATTTATTAGCGTATAAATGAGAGAACATTTCTTGCTTAGTTAATGGTAATGTTCCGAAATCGGAATTATTGATTTTCTCGGTCAATTCAAAACCAATTAATTTGAAATCGTAAATATCAATATTTGAAAGTGAAAAATTATCAAATTTGCATGTGAATTTGGATTAATTAACAAACACGCTTTATTCAGGACAAATAAACAAATTTTTTTTTAAATCAAAGGTAAAATTCATCCAAAATCATCAATAATTGTAGTGTTCAAACTAATTTTCGATTGGATTTTCGTAATTCTCTTATTCTTGATTAAAATTATTGAGACGAGAGCCAAAATGGAAATAAGTACAAGGGCACTAATTGAAATCAAAACAATGACATAAGTAGCAAGTTTTTGGGCTGGTGGTAAGTTACATGGAACAAAACTAAATGATGGGAAAACAACATTTTCTGTGTAAATATTTGATTTATTTGAATGTAACTTCTCATAAAGGAACGTGATACCATATTCTAATGTATTATTTTCAATATATACTTGACCAACATTTAACAGATATGTATTTCCTTCAATTCCTGAAACAAAATTTGATTCAAAGCTTAATAATTCAGAAGTATCAGAATATATGATAGAATATGTATTTTTCTGATCAAATTTAGTGAACTTTAAAGCATTGAAGTAATTGTTATTAAAAGATGTTTCCATTCCAAAATAAATTTGAAAATAAATTGGAGAAAACTGAATTGTATTATTTGCAAAAACCGTATATTGTGATGTAAAATTAAAATTTGAATGAACAAGTGGCTGCATCTGATGATAAATATTGTTATTATAGAGTCGCATAATTGAAAGATCAACTTTTATTGTATATGCATCCAAGAAATCATTTGGTTTTAAGTTATAAACAGTTGTTTGATTTATATGTCCGGTATATGAATCAAAATACAGCGGTCGCTCTGTTGATTGATAACTTACAAATGTACCAATGCTATCACAATAACAGTTATCTTTTAAAGCAAAAGTACTAACGCAACAGCAAATGTAAATTGTACTTGGAGCAACTTCAAACCAATATATATTCTGAATTTGATAAAAAAGTGAGCGACTAATACCTATTTTTCGAACTGAATCTCTGCATAAGATGCATGTTCCATAATGAGCGTTGCTTTTTATGTTTATAAAAGAGCATTTATCAACATCTAGGCCGAAATATTGGTTTTCAGAAATTATAGGCTTGTTATAGGAAGTATAATTTTCAGTCCCAGGATCTCCAATAAATAAATTCAACGCGCGATATATATTAAGGTCTGAAATATCGTGACTTGTACAATTTTCAAAATTAACGGCTGTATCATTCGAACAATTAAGGATATTACAATTGAAAAGCGATATATTATAAGTATTGTTTGTTAAAATAATGTTTTGAAACGTACATTCTGTAAATCGAAGTGGGCATGTCGAACAAAAGCAAATTCCTTCGGTCATGTTAATAAAAAAGCAGTTAGTAAATAAGTTTGAATCATTTTCGTTTGAATTAACTTGAAAATGATAATCTTTTGAATTTAAATCAAAAAAGAATGAATTTTTAACGAAATAATTCGGGCAGTTTATGCTAATTGCACTATTTTTAATGTCATAATATGAAATATTAATCATATTGGCGCTTAATTTGCAGTTTTCAAGGACAATAGGAAATTTTTGTAAACCAATAAGATGCATACTTTGAGTCACCTCACAATGATCGTATTCTACGACTCCCTTATTGAAATAAGCAGAAAGTCCTTCTTTTGCTATGCACCCGATAAATGAATTATGTGTAAAATTGGTGTGAATGTTTCCGCTTATATATACGCTTCCTCCTTGATTAAATGCATGACAATTCGAAAAAAACAGTATCAGTCGTTTCCAAATTTAGATTATCGCGTTCAAGAAAAATTGCGGAACCTTTTAATACATCGGATGTGAGATGAATAAATACACACCAGAAAATAGTATAATTGTTCAACGCAGATGGTATAAAAACAATTCTATCCAGAGATTGATATCTGATTTCATTCATTTTATATATCTGTCAATTTTTTATTTCTGAATTACATTAACAAGCTAATATTGCATTAAGGAAATAATATGATGTTCATTGTTTTATTCCAATTCTATGAATTAATTCAAAATATAGTTTATTGAAATTCAAAATTTGATAATCCACAGATCAAGATAATTTAGCTGTTATCACTAAATGATCCGAAAGATGTTTGGATAAATCAAAAGTGATATGATTTTTTATTTCAAAAATGTCTAATGCGAATATTTTTTCATCATTCTTATTTCTTCCAAATTTCAAACTGATGTCACATGTTGTAATTTCATACGCCTAAATATTTTCAACAGTGAAACAAGTTTTATTCGAATTACGAACTCAATTTTAGATTCTACCATAAATACTTGTTATTTCTACGGATGTAATTCCTTTGGTAGTGATGCTATATCTTGCGATCAAGGTACCAAGTTTGTTTTTGAGAAATCCAACTTTTTCAATTCAAATTGCGATTATTCTTTAATTTCTATGGAAGATAAAACAAACTCCTTAAATTGCATATCATTGACAAATTCAAAACTCAGCTCTGAAGTTATATCCAACTCGATTTTATACGGAATTTCCAATTTTACGATCAAAAGCTTAAATATTTCAAATAGTTATGCAAACAATTCTCAAATATTTTACAAAAATTTCAATAATTTTATAATATCTTCTTTACTTGTGAATAATTCTCAATCTCTTAACTCTTTTACTTATGGTTCCCATGAAAAACTTAATACGAGCTCATTTTTCAAATATATATCAATTACTAATTCAAAAACCAAATATTCTTTTCTTTGTCACAGTTCAAATACAAATTTTGAAAATATTTACATGAAAAATGTCGAATGTCAAGATAATATTTATTTTCATACTGACCATAAGATTGATATCATTCATTGCTACTCAGATCGAAAATTTAATATTTTTGGTGATTATTCAATAAATGAAGTTTCTTATGATTATTCAGATACCATTCCTGTTTCTGGTTACTATGGCGATGCTAATCTTGATTTCCTTTCAAATAATTCATATAAACTCAGTAAGAAAACAATAAATGAATCAATAGTTATACATGATTTGAAAAGTGAATTTAAACTTAACAAAGTTATCTTTCAAGACATAATGACTAGTTCATTGAATGGAGTTGGTGGTGCTATCTCTATTTGCTGCTTTTCTTCGAATATTGAAATCACAAATTGTAAATTTGATTTTTGTAGGTCAATGAGTTCAGCAAAGAGAATTTGTGGTGGTTGTATAAATATTGTTGGTCATAGCACATCTACAATCATTAGAAATGTTTATGCATCAGATTGTTTGGCTGGAAGAGGTCATTTCTGTGATATTTATTCTGATAATTTGACTAATTTAACAATGGTGACAATTTCTAAATGTTCTTCTTTAACTGAATACACGGATGCAGTTACTAGTTACATTTACTTTGATAATATTCATAAATCATGTAACATATCAAACAATTACATGCGAGAAGTAATGATTTGGTCATATCTAAGAAGCGAATTTAAAGATTGTGTTATTGCATCAAACAAATTGATTGAAGGAGAATCATATATTTCGAGTTCATTTTTATCTTTAACAAGTTGTTTTGTTTACAACAATAGTTATAATAGTACTAATAATATAATAACATTTAAATATGATGAATTTGAACTTCATAACTGTTATTTGCTTATTGAAGAAAACTACAACTTTTCCAATTCCATTGTTTCTAATTCATCAATCAACAATATTACTTTAGAAGAAATTCATAAGCTTGCAATTTCAAAGAATATTGGATGTAATTTAAGTTTAATTAAGTATGCAGCAGCATTTGCATTATGGAAGATTATTGTAATTGTTTTAAGTATTCTTCTTTTGATTGCAATAATCGCTGTTTATTTCATTGTTGGTCAAAATCGCAAATACAAGCGTTTGGAAGATAGAATTAATCTTGAAAATGTTTATAATAAGGATTTCGGATAAATTATCTATATTTTGTTTGTTATGTAATAAAAATTATTTAAAGTAAATAATTTATCTAGAAGAGGCAAACCCAAATTTTAGCTAAAAGTGACAGGGAAAATTGCTCGGTTCTACATTCAAAATAAATTTCATTAATTTTTACGTACATATTAAGGTACTTATCTTCTACATATATAATCTTCATTAGATATATACATGATAAATAAAATTCATAAAACATTAAAAATAGTAGTATATGTTGACGGGTTTTGTGACTTTTTTTGTAAACGTAAGAATTCATACATTTTTGAGCGATTTTGTATCATTTTTTTTTACATATGAAGTAAAAAATGTATGATTTTTACGGTTTTTATTCTTACGTTTTTGAATAAATCAAGATTTAAAAATTTTCAGAATCGTAAGAAATTTTCACTAAACCCATACATAATGAAATAAAAAAAAATAAAAAAATAAAAAAATAAACTTTAAAAATTCATGTCTTACATTTTTTGAATAATTTATTTTTTTAATTCGTATGAAAATGAGTGGATCAAGATTCGTAACCGTCAATCAATTAATGGATGTTCTTTCACCAATTCTTGAAAATGTTAAACAAGTAGATGTTTATTTCGATGATTATGTAGAAAGTATATATTATAAAGGTAAGTTTAATATTAAACCTATTGCTTTTGCATTTGATAATAAATTAATTGAAAATGCAAAAATTTGGGAATTAATTCCAGATATTGAATTTATAACAAATATTAATGATAAATGGTTTAAACGAATTCCAACCACAAAAGTTCTTTGTAAATTAATGATCAAAACTGAGGAAAAAGAATTTAACGGGTTTAAATATCATCCAAATAAAGTTTCAGAACTAGAAAATGAAAAACTTCAGAAAAAATTAAACGATAGACTTTCAAATGATCGTATTGAAAAAATAAATAAACTAGCAGAAGTTGCATTTAATAATGAAATATTTGATGAATATAACCTTGAACTCAGTGATGGACTTTAAGTCCTGGGCACTTTGTGCCTTGAGCTTTAAGGACCCGGGCTCAACGAGTCATGATTTATGAAATCAATAATTTGATTTATTCGCTCTTCAATAATTTCTATTCTTTTTGTTAAATCATCAATTTTCATTAATGAGGTGATTCTTGATTGAGGAATAGATTTTAAACTAACAACACCTTTTATTTTTGAAATTTTGAATCCATGACCCTCCGGGTCTTGGACTCTGTCCTCAACTTTAAACATTTTATTCAATTTACATGTTGTCAATTCTTCAAATAATTTTTTATTATTAGCATAATAGTCATTAAATTCATCAACAGATGAAAAAATTTTTATTTCAGTAATTGGTTTAACAACGTTTATTTTTTGTTGAACATTTTCACTTTCATTTATTTCTTCCTCCTCTGTTTCATTTATTTTTAAAATCGGTTTCATTTATCATTAAATAAAAAATTAGAATATAAGTGATGAAATATATTTTTTAATTAATATTAAATCAGAGATGGCGGCAGGATTCTTTAAAAAATTATGGGAAGGAATTAAGAAAGCTGCAAGTTGGGTTCATCAAAAGATTATTAAACCCGTTGCAAACTTTTTGGCACCAGTAGCGAAAACGGCAGGAACTATCATAGGAGGAGTATTAGGTGCTAAAGCAGGTAATCCGGCGATGGGAGCACAAGCAGGTAACGCAGTTGGTGGAATTGCTGAAGGAATACTTAATAAAATAGGGGTAGATAGTGGAAAAATAAATAAATATTATTTTTATCTTAGTATCGGTTGTAGTCGACGATAAACCTTATCTCCTTTATTTAATACTTCCCTTACCGGAACATTAGGTGCTATTTGTTCAGCAACGTCACTAATTGCTTCTTTATTCTTAAATATCCAATTTGCTCCTTTCTTAATCCCTTCCCAAACTTTATGCGCTCCTCTTTTTACTTTATCCCACAGTTTCTTAAAGAATCCTGCAGCCATAGTTGATTATTTCATTAAAATTAAAAATTCATTTTCATCTTTTAATTTTGATTTTTTATTTAATAATAAATGACGACTAACTATTTAGTGCCAAACACTAAACCGATTAATGGAAATGTGTTTCATTCATTCGAAAAGATAAATGAAATATTCGCAAAGAATGATGGAAGAAGATATTATAGAGAACTTGAAAGTTCATGCTATGACTCTGATGCTCCATATTTTGATGATAAACAAACTCATTTAAGAATTACAAATCCGGCTCATGATGTGAACCAATTAGGTGACACATATATTAAACGCAAAGTTAAAGCAACTCTAGTTTCAAATAAAGCTTTCACATGTGATGCCGCTTTTAAATGCATGCGTTTATTCGTTGGTTACAAATCATCAAATCAAAGCTTTAAACAATTAGAAGTAGAAACCGAAAGAGGTGATGCGGTTATCTTCAGATGGATTGCGCCCGTGAATCTTTCGCATTTGCAACATATAAACCAAAATCAGAAAGGAAAGTTAAAAAGTTTGTTCATTCGTTATATAATAATGTTCAAAAATATGATAACTCAGTATGTGGTAAATATATTGACCCTTCAGAAGTTTTCAAGAAAGCAAATGAAGAAGTTGATGTCACTTTTGATATGATTATTCCGGTAAATGATTTGTTAGCATTTCAGGCGTTCGATGATTATCCTAAATCATTTGGTGAAATCATTCTTAAATATTATGTTTTCAGGGATACTTTAGTATTTTGTCAGGTTGACCCGTTAAGAGTTGCTGATTTACAAAATTACGTTTATGAAAAGATAACTGATGAAAATTATGAAAAGATTATGAATCATGTTTATAAATATGATCGCAAATTCCAACAAATCGGACTTCCTGCCAAATTAATTACAAGCTTAGCCGCTACATCTGCTGACGCAACAGTTGAAGACGTTATTATTTCATGCACAAAGATGGAAGTTTTAGAGGATAAATGCATTACACCAGGATACGGTTTAATTGAAGAATCAGTTAAAGCAATACCACGTTTATTTAGTAAGGAAGATCCATTCATGATTCCAGCTCAACATATTGACGTTCGTTCACTAAATGGAGGTTGCATCACTCCTGAAGGTATTAGCTCAGATTTCTCATACGCTCTTCATAATGTTACAGATGTTGTGTTAACATTTCCGAAGAATGCAATGCAAAGAACGGTTTTAGAAAATCCAATGCTTCGAGGTCTTCAGGTCACTATAGATTCCAGAAACTTCCCCGATCAAGCGATGACCACAGTGGGTGACATATTCTTTACACGTATGCTTCAAGCTTCTGATTTAGATGGAGTGAATGAATGCACAGAAGAATACGAGGACTCATTAACTAGACCACTGAATGATGATGATGGCAACCATTAGCTAGAACATGGAAAGACCAAACTTCATTCTTATGCACTATTCCAGTTCAACGTGATGGAGCGGGTATATTCTTTGATGGATTAGAAACTTTCAACTCACAAGTTACAGTACAAGTGAAAGCTTATCCAATCATTCAGGGTGAAAATGACACTTACTGTTCAAAAGTGACAAATCCTCCTCAGGTTTGGTTTACTAGGACTACATATTGGACATGGACACCGGATGAAGGTTTGAAATATCATCCAACAGGTACACCACCGCAGTATAGAAGTTCATATGATGAAATATTGATGAATAGAAATGTTTAAAATTATAAATTTATTTTTGATTAAATGGATTTAAATTCATCCACCCCTTATGAAGAATTAGCAGGAGTATATAATACATACGTAGATGATATGATTAATGAAGCATTGAGTGATAATAGAAATGCTCTATCTAAGGAAAAATTAATGAAAATTCCATATTCTGAATGTTACTTAAATTCAATCACTGCAGCAATTGGTAAACAAAATAAAGGTAAAACATTAACGATATTAAAACAAATTATCATTATTGCTAACACTTCACCCTATTCACATGTGTTAATTTATATCAACCGTTCAGGTTCACCTTCAGATGATACATTTGAATCTTTAAAGCATTTAATCAAAATTCCAATTATTTATTTATCACAAGAAGAAGCAGAAGATTATTTAAAAAACTTTGTAATGTATAAAGAATTATATAATACAATCAAGAAGCAAGGATTAGAGGATAAAATTATTGATAAACAACGGGATGAATTATTTGAAACACTTTCTATTTCAAATTTTGATAGAGAATTTTTGCATTCACTCATTTTTCTAGATGATGCGGTGAAATCAAAACTAATAACTAATGAGAAATCATATTTTAATCAATTATTAACTCAATGTCGACACATTCAGTGTTCATTCTTCATGGCTGTTCAATACTTTAAAGCATTAAGCACAAACATTAAATCAAACCTGTCCACCCTTTTCATTTTCAGTGGTTTTAGTCGTCAACAGTTGAACGTTATGCTTTATCAAGTGAATTTACCAATGAGCATTAATGAACTTTACACACAATATCAACAATTAGGAGAACATGGAAAAATAATAGTTGATTTAAATAAAGGTTCCATTAAATTCGAATAACTTTTTATAATTAATTTTTATTTTTTATTTATAATTAAACATGACAGAAATTGCAAATCTTCTACAGGTTCCATTAAAACAAGGAACAAACAAAAAGGGTGCATATAATAGAACTATGAAAGTTCCAGACGGAATGAAAGAATTAGTCCACATTGTTGCCGGTCTTCAAAAGGATGTTAAACAAATGAGAAACGTTTTAACATTACCAGAAGCTCAAGCATATGCCAAACGTCACGGACCAAATTGGGAAGCACACGAAGCAGACATTACGGGTCCAAATGGAAAACCTGATGGAATAAATGAAGTTTTCGTTACTGATGGTCAAGGAAATATTAAAGTCATAAATGGGTATAAATTAACAATGACGGATTATCCTAAACGTAAAGCATATAATGAACATTATCCTATGCAATTTGATGAAAATGGAAAAGCTGTTAAACAATACATTGGAGAAGGTGAAAATGGT